ATTGTACAGTGGCATTAAGTGTCGAAATCTGCACCTCTGCCTACCCCTTCGGGGGGATAAGAAGGCGTGATGTTATGTATGTATGTAACTTGAAGGCACTTTGTGCCGTAGCCAAAGGTTACCGTAGCACGTAGTTCGTAGCCAGACTACGAACTACGCCGCAATTTCGTAGCACCGTAGCTATTTAAAATCAAAATGTAATTTTATATGCTTATTCCATAAGCCTTATAGAAAAGTAACTCAAATATACTTTCTTTCGTAGCCAAAGGTTACCGTAGCACCGTAGCAAAGACTACGAGCTACGTCGCAATTTCGTAGCAGCGTAGCTATTTTAAAATCAATACTGAGACCAGACAACGCGGTACCTAAATATAGAATGAAAGTTTATGTGATTAGATTGAACGTAAATAAATACCGATTCTTATCTTACAATTACACCCTTATTTTGTTAACAATAAGAGCTATTTTGGAATAAAAGGTCATGTATGGATTTCGTTAACAATAGGTTTGTATTGTTTGTTCGGAATATATGCTTATGAAGGCAATACGTGGAATGTTTTTAAAAATGTTTTGTTGAAAAGGTCAGGACCTATTTTAGATATGATATTATAGACTAAATGTGTGTTTGTGTGTCGGCCGTCGTGGTGGGCAAGACGTTTACGACACCGGTTATAAAAAATCACGATACGATCAAAAGGAGCCGAGTAGAGCGGATGACACCTTGCGAACATAGCTAGATATAAATTTAATTTAATTTAATATTGCCAAGTATGTGTAGCTTGTAAATTGCTCATTCGATGTTCATGAAATATAGCTAAATACCACCGCGATGTATAAAACTTTCGATTAATAGTGTTAGTGCAAATTGCACTCAAATCGGTTCATTAGTTTAAGAGATATAATACCACAGACACATAGATCAAAATTTACAACCCTCTTTTTGCTTCAACATAGAAATGGTTTACTAGAAAAAAAAATTAAATTAAATATAAAGTCGAAGTCAATGTATTTATTTCAATTAATCCTTAAATAAGCACTTTTCAGACGTCAAAGAACGTCGTCAAGAAACTTAAAAATTTTATTGTCCGTCCGAGCAAGAAACTCCTTATACTTTTTTTCTAAGACATTTCTATTCGGTGTAGCTTATTTTTTATTATTTATTTATCTTTATATCACACAGGTAAGTATTTTATAATCTAAGCCCCACAAAACCATTACAATGGTTTGACTGCGGGGTCGAGTCGCTAGACATTACAATTAAATGTACTTATATTTAATGCCCGTAAGGATTAACACATCTCCTTTAGCCAAATACCACTTTAGCGCTTGCCTACAGAGAGAGTGGACAACTAAATGTATGGGGATGACACTGACAAGTGTTAAAATTTACGTCAATTCCATGTAATTTGGTTTTCTATTCTACATGTAGACAAACGCTAAATGGCATTTGGCTACAGCTGTAGTTATTCCTTTTTAAGAGTACCGAAACTATTATATTAAATTAAAATAATAAAGGACCAAATGTATTTTTGGCGTACTGCCAGAATTTTAACAATATACGGTTGGGTTACCTACTTAAATCAATATTTTATGTTCGCAAACCGTTTTGTTACTAACCATTTCAGTATGACGACGAGTTTCTTTTTTAAATTCTGTTTTTAAAGATAATAATAGCTATGGTTGATTGGTTCGTATTTTTGTAATATAATAGATACAGAATGTTTTATATATATATATTATACTACAAAAATACGAACCAATCGACCATATATATGTATACATATGGTATATATATACTGTATAATATTATAAATGTGGAAGTTTCTTTGTTTGGATGTTTGTCCGTCAATCACGATGAAACTAAATGAATGGATTAATTTGGTATACAGGTAGGGTATAGGCAGACTTAGGTTCTAGGATATTTTTATCCCGATTAAATGCTCAGGTTAGAACAGGAATACACGGGCAAAGACGCGAGTAAAAGCTAGTTATTTTATAAAACGGATAAGTTTTATTTTTAACCGACTTCTTGTGTTTTTTAAAGCCTTGTCAGTGGTGTGGTTTTAAGTCTGACTGCCAAGCGAGATATCTGGGGTTTGATTCCATTTCTCTTCTTATCGTTTAGATCTAAAAGGCCAATTTCAATCAGATTTGATTTATATTTCACAGTATAAAATAACGTCTACTTTTTTGTATTTGATAGGCCAACGTTTGACCATGATCTCGCCTGGTAGTAAGCTATGATGGAGCACCTCGTTCTATAAACAACCTATTCACTCAGGCCTTGAAGATACCCAGGTTATCCAGGCCCTTCAGGAAATATAGACTCTGGCAAAGAATTCCACTCCGTAGCACTACGTACAAGGAAGTTTAATGCGAAGCGCTTCGTGCGTGTGGGCAGGAATGTGGGTACTTCTGCGTACCTCTGTTGCTTAATAAAACATGACTGCCTCGTTGGCCGAGTCGTCGCAAGTTCGACTGCCGTGCAAGGGGTCTTGGGTTCGATTCTCGGGTCTCGGGCAAAGGATTACAGGTTTTTAAGAAATTCTCAGTAGTAGCACGGAGTCTGGAATTGCGCCCGGTATATGGCAATATGCTCACCCCCTATTACATGGGACTCATATCATAAATAGTGGAAAGTGGGTGTTACATTGTACAGTGGCATAATGTACACCTCTGCCTACCTCTTCGGGGATAAAAGGCGTGATGTTATGTATGTATGTTATGACGTAATATTATGAAATACAACACTAAATAACAACCAAGAAACATAACTAAAATAAACTAAAAACCTATTAAAGTAACAAACTAAACAATCGTAGGACTAAAACTACAGCTACAATTAATTTTTAATTTTACTAAGTGTATGTAACACATCAAGCTATGCAAAACCAGTATAAACTGGTCTTTGAATGTGCACAAAGGTCATAGGAAAGGAGACCACGATAAATTGGTTTTGTATAGTTCGATATGTGAAGCCGTGTACATACTACAGAAGTCTGTCCTTGAATTTACCGCCGTGAATATTTTCAGGCAACATATACATATGTATTCAAGGCTGTTTTATTTATGTATGTGTTTGACGTATGCGTTTTTGTTTTTCCTACTTTATGAAGCTTATTATCCGCATCATTTTAGAATTTAGATTGTACGATTTTCATCTGATTTGGAGGCTTTAAGACAGGTGTTTATTTAAGAGGGTATTGCTTTAACTCGTCGAGTACCGGTTTTGTAGACACAATTATAGAACAATAGGTTGCGGTCACCGGTGACCGCTTGGTGTTTGACAGTTTAAATAAAGTCAAAGACCTAAAGTGAGACAGTGGTTAAGACGGTAAAGCATGGATGACGTGTAGGCGGCGCGCTTACAGCGTTTTTATATTGACGTTACGAAATATGTCATACAACATACGATTTAAAGTTGATATTTAACCCCTGGTATGCTGGGAACGTACAGATACGCCAGACACAATTGTTTTTTATTGTGTCTCATATACCGGCAGATAAGGGGTTAAATGATATTGCTGGGTCGGAGTTGTGCTGGAACCGTGCTTGTCAGGTATGGGATGACCTTAATTCTCCGATCCGGCATTCAACCATATTTATTTTTCACTGATTTACCCATCTTACATACAAACTTACATTATCATAGTTTGTCCATGAGTGGCACCGATTTCTTACCATCAGGGTGATCCGTATGTACGTCTACAGTCAAAGTCAAAAGTCAAAGTCAAAATCATTTATTTCAATTAGACCAGAAAGGCGCTTTTGAACGTCCACAATAAAATTAAAAGTGAAGCTATTTGCTCATTCCATTACGAAATAAAGTTATATCCCTCAAAAATGTAAATATCTTCTTTGTCCACAGGAGCGTTTCTCATCCCGTTCCTGATCATGTTGGTGCTGGAAGGGATTCCTCTCTTCCTGATAGAGATGGCTATAGGCCAGAAGATGCGGCTTGGCTCCCTCGGCGTGTGGAACACCATACATCCCTGGCTCGGTGGTATTGGCATATCCAGTTGCATGGTGACGCTCTTTGTGGCCTTGTACTACAACGTCATCATCACATGGGTGTTCTTCTATCTCTTCAATAGTATTCGGGTGAGTTACATTGTTACTAGCTACTTTCGCGCGGTTTCACAGGCTCTGCTCAGCTCCTATTGGTCGTAGCGTGAGGTTTTAGCCTATAGCCATCCTCGATAAATGCGCTATCCAACACAAAAAGAATTATTCAAATCAGACTTGTAGTTACGGAGATTAGCGCGTTCAAACAAACAAACAAAAAACAAAATATTCCGCTTTATATAATAGTAAAAGATTTATTTAAGCATATAGTTACTCCATTAATTATACCTATAAACTCTCCTTTTAAATCACTCAATACATGGTGTAAACGAAACGCTTCCGAAAATACGGCTTTTTTTTTAAATTTTGCTGATTTAATTGTTTTTGTTTTCATGGTATTCGCGCAATATCAGCCTTGAGCAGTTGATTACAACTACAACTAGAGTAACTGGAACAAAATTAAAAAATTGGGTTAATCCAGTATTTTCTGGCATAAACCTACAAAAAATCGAATAAACCATGAAGTACAGCATAAAAGCAACATTAAAACTTCCTTACATTTTTTTAATAAAGCTGGTTTTTTACCATTGCTCACTTCAGTCTTCGTTTTTCGCAAGCACTCTCCTTACAACCCTGTAAACTAAAAAAAAATCTCATCAAAATCCGTGGTGTAGTTTTGAAGATGTAAGCACATTCACATTATACTATGAAGTGATTGGACTCCACAATTCCACATACACATATATAAAAGAATGTACACGTGCAGTCAAAATTGCTCTGTTCTTTGCAACTATCATATCAGTAAAATTTAAAACTTTACTCAAAACTACCGAACCATTAAGAGTCTGACACTCTTTCGACTCAGCCAAGGCCCATTTGATGTCGCGGAGAACAATACCGGGTAACCGGGGCTCCGGCTCGACGTGCAGGAGAAGGAACGGGGTGGTTTTTAGTCAGGAAGAGTCTGACACTCCCTCCCGCCTCACCCAGGCGGGAGCAGTCATTCGATGATTTTCTCCCTTAAAAAAAAGGCCCATTTGATTCGATAATTTTCCCCCCTTAAAAATTACTAGGTTTGTGGAATTCGAATTACAGACAATATAAACACATGTCATTTGTCACAGCTGTCTGCCGACTCTCTACCTTGGGCCCATTGCCCTGTGGACAACGGCACTCGTGAAGCTGAATGCAACAAGGCTTCCTCGACCGTCTACTTCTGGTACCGCGAAGCTCTGGACGCGTCACCTTCCATCGAGGATCCAGGAGTACCAAGGTGGTGGATTGTTCTGTATCTCCTTCTGGCTTGGATCATCGTCTTCTTTATTGTGATGAAGGGGATCCAGAGTAGTGGAAAGGTAAGTGTCTCACTTCTGCTATTTTATGTCATCATCATCATCATCATCAACAGCCTATAAATGCCCACTGCTGAGCAAAGCCTCGTCTCACACGGAAAGGTTTGAGCATTAATCACCACGCTTGCTCAGTGCGGGTTGGCACTTACAATCTTATAATTAGACATTATAAAGCCGAGGTTTCCTCACGATGTTTTCCTTCACCGTTTGTCAGTGATGTCTAGATAATCTTAGAAAGTATAAATAACTCGGAAAAAGTCACATTGATACTTACCATTGGGCGGTTTCGAATCGCACCCTCATGCACGAGAAGGGCATAATTAGTGAAAAGTGGGTGTTACATTGTACAGTGGCATAATGTGCACTTCTGCCTACCCCTTCGGGGATAAAAGGTGTGATGTTATGTTGTGTTAAATAAATAAATTTATCATCAATATTGAATTGTTTCAGGTCGTCTACTTCACGTCTCTGTTCCCATACATCGTGCTGACAATCTTCTTTATTAGAGGTGTCACACTCCCAGGGTCTGCAGACGGCATCATCCACATGTATAAACCGAAGGTAAGATACTATTAAAAGCAAAATATATTTAAGTTCGAAAGAAGTCAAAACCATGTAAGACGTTTAAATCGCCAAAAAGGATTTTCCAACATCTTTATCTTTATATATATAATTCTTCTGTGAGTGTGTATGTCACTGAACTAAACAAAACATTATGTAGTTTACTACATAACGAGTACGAGCTACTGACTTTTGATAGTCTACCGGAACATCAAACTTTACTAACAGATTATACTATTACTAGCGGACCCGACAGACGTTGTCCTGCATATCCACTTGAATGTATAAACATAAATTCACTCAAATTAGTTCAGCCGTTTAGGATAAATAACCTCAGCGCCATCTGCCGGACTGATTTGTGAATCTAAACCAATCCCAGATCCCCTTGAACACACACAAAAAAATTCATCAAAATCGATCCAGTCGTTTGAGAGAAGTTCAACTGACATACACATTCATAGAAGAATTATATATATAAAGATGTTGGAAAATCCTTTTTTGGCGATTTAAACGTCTTACATGGTTTTGGCTTCTTTCGGACTTAAATATATTTTGCTTTTAACATAGAGTCAAAAGCAAAAGAAAACGTTCTTATACTTTTTAAACATGAATTTGTCAGTACGTATCGTCTATTACAGAAATGAATCTTATACAGCATTCACAGATTACTAAAAAATTCAAAATGGCATAACCACATGATAGTTTACTCGACTCGATAAATAAGTATGTAACAATTTGTCCATAAAACATTGACAGCCCGTTCAACGAAGTGTCTTTGATAAAGTAAAGTGGGGCTAAAAATAGTTTCTGTGATGTCGTAATACAAGAGTTCGTTTGCTTTTACGAGGCTCTAGGGGCCATACATATAAACCTTCGCGAATAAATCCAGTGTAGCAGTGTCACCATTAAAAATATTACACTTTAGTAAATGTCTATAAAGATGATCCCGGTTGTCGTACTCGTATAGAGGTAATAAATGTCTACCGGCCACTCTATATAACTTACATATATGTATATATATTTCTTTCAGAAATGTAATTTTGACGTATTTTATTTGAAGATAACGTCAAAATTCTACGGATCTCTTCACTGGTCAAAATAAGGGACGGTTAAATTATTAAGATCGCCTGTAAGACAATTATTATGAGTCAACAACCCGTGAGAGTCCACTACTGGAATGTGTGAAACAAGTACTGCAAATAGGCTACAAGGCAGCACTTTTACATGCCAATTTTTTTTAAAAGCACTACATGTGACGATATTTCGATAAGAATCTCTATAGTTCTCCTTTACGAATAATGAGTGTGTCATTACCCCCACACTTGGCAGGCCGGTTAAAGATCGCAGTCTTAAAGGATCAGATTTAGTCAGACAACGCTGCTTCCTGGTGTCTGTTCAATATCGTAGTCCCTTAATTACCTCTTACGACATCTACATGAAGAGAAGGTGGTGATAAAATGTCCAGTCACCGTTACCAAACAGTTTAAAGTATTACAAGTATTTTTTTATGGCATAAGCCGGTAAACGAGCAGACGGATCACCTGATGGTAAGCAATTGGCGTCGCCCATGGACACCTGGAACACCAGAGGCGTTACAAGAGCGTTACCGGCCTTTTGAGGAATTAAGAGTTTGAGGATCGTTGGGGATTCAGGAATTGGGGAGATTGGGGAAGGAGAGGGTAACCTCACTCACACGACGAAACACAACGCAAGCGTTGCTTCACGTCGGTTTTCTGTGAGGCCGTGGTATCAGTCCGGTCAAGCCGGCCGATTCGTGCCGAAGCATGACTCTCCCACACTTTTTAAATATCTAAATTAATAAACCTTTTTTACAGCTGGAAAAGCTACTAGACCCGACAGTGTGGTTGGACGCTGCGACTCAGGTCTTCTACTCTTTCGGGCTTGCTTTCGGATCCCTCATCGCCTTCGGTTCTTATAACCCTCCGAACAATAACTGTGTGAGGGATGTCCTCCTGGTCTCCGTGTGTAACGCCCTCACTGCCATCTACGCGTCCGTCGTGATCTTCAGCATCCTTGGGTTCAAGGCGTTCACCATGGTGGAGACGTGCATGACCAAGTGAGTGGTGCCAATGTTGGTTCAAATATTCTTTGTTAGCTTTTGGTATAGAATGACCGATGACCTTAAGTCTGAGGAATACGATTGAGTTATGGTAGAAATTCCATAAAGCTATAATACTAAAGATTTTAGATTCAGACCGATTAATAATTTTGGCCATTAGACGTTATAGTTTAAAGTATATTTGTTTTGGTTTCTGTTATTCTAACAAACCTCGTTCCAATGATGACGACCACGGATAAAAATTTACTTTAATTGCAGTTCGTGAGTTATGCACGTAAAGTCAGACTGCCTCGTTGGCCAAGTGGTTGCAAGTGCGACTGCCAAACGAGGGGTCTCGGGTTCGATTCCCGGGTCGGGCAAAATATTACTGAGTTTTTAAAAATAATCTCAGTAGTAGCACGAAGTCTGGAAATGTGTCTTGGAATATCATAAATAGTGAAAAGTGGGTGTTACATTACACAGTGGCATTAGGTGCCGTAATGTGCACCTCTGCCTACCCCTTCGGGGATAAAAGGCGTAATGTTGTATTATATTATTGTTATTATAAAAAATCAGTTCATAGGCATTATTATGATCCGTATATTGTATGAAAATACTAGAAATAAGTAATTTATAACTGAAATAACATGAAAATCATCTCGTCAATGAACCACTGCTATCATTTTATATCTATCAATCATCATTAATTGGCTCCCGCTGTTTTATTGTTTTGATTGTTCTGTATCATATAAAATCATGCCTAGTCTTTGGTCGAATGATCATAAACGCCACAACCGAGCAAGAATATTTGGATCCGATTCCCTGGTCAGGTTTTCGTCAGGTCAGCAGCTGTAGCCAAATGCCATTTAGCGCTTGTCTACAGGTAGAATAAAATTTTGACACTTGTCAGTGTCATCCCCATACATTTAGTTTTCTACTCTCTCTGTAGACAAGCGCTAAAGTGGTGTTTGGATAGAGGAACAGGTCAATCTTGCTTGTTACCGGGGCTCCGGCTCGAAGCAAGAGTAGGGACGGTGTGGTTTTTAATCATTAACACGTCAAACACCATGGGAGTCACCGGTGACCGGCGTTAGTGGAGGATTTACCTCCAACAGTTTTTTATTGGCAGTCAAAGTCTTAAGAGTCTAACACTCTTTCGACTCACCCAAGGAGCGAGACGTAATTCGATGATTTTCCCCCCTTAAAATTTGCTAGGATTTTGGAAATTCTCAGTAATTGCTAGTCTAGAGTAACTCCTACTATGTTATACCTAATAATATAGGTTCATCTTTTAACATGTAGGTCAAAATAAAGAAATGATATCGTGTTACATCTAACGTTTGCTCCTCAAAAAGTAATATATTACAAAAATTCTAACATAACATAACAACACGCCTTTTATTTCCGAAGGTGTAGACAGAGCTGCACATTATGCCACTGTACAATGTAACACCCACTTTTCACTATTTATGTTATGAGTGTAATAGGAGGTGAGCCTATTGCCACATACCGGGCATAATTCCAGACTCCGTGCTACTACTGAGAATTTTTTCAAAACCCAGTAATGCTTTGCCCGACCCGGGAATCGAACCCGAGACCAGTCGCACTAATTTGAATAACACTAGTACTAAACTCCCAAGATTTCCTGCCCAAAACCACTCAACAAATAAGGTCATTAATCAATTAATCACTCCATAGCCTTCCAGAGCGTGCTAAGATTGCACTATATTTGATAGCCTACAGTCTATAAGAGGCTATCAACTCTGATTGATGTGTTGCCACCATTTCAAATAGCATGCACGACCTTGGCCCGAACTAAATATAAACGTTCAAGGTCGTAGGGTGAATATCGACTTTGTGTGAAAGGTTGAAAGTTGATTATTGTTTGTGAGACTCCATTTCTTGAAATGTGCAATTGCTTTTGTTTCTGTTGGCAAGTAGTTGCTCAGTTATATCGATCGTACTAAGGGCTGATTTTTCAATCATCAGTTCATTCTTAACTCTATATAATGTCAATTTTATTATACAATAAAATTGACATTTGACAGTTTTTCGTATGGAAGAATTGTCAAATATTCATTATGTTATTCCTCAGTTAAAATTTATCTGAGCATTGAAAAATTTGCCCTAAAAATATTTGCATATACCGTATTTGCAAAGTTACATAATAACGTATCTTTGCTATTTGTATTGTAGTTACATCTGAAGTATTTTTCAACCAAAATCAAAATCTTTTCTCTTTATACTATTAGTATAGATATATATTAATAATGATAGAACTATACTCACTATTAGGCCTTCGGTAATTAGGCCTCCGGTAACCTCGCCCACATTATGAAACACAACGTAAGCGTTGTCCACGTTGATTTTCTGTGAGGCCATGGTATTACTCTGGTCGAGTCGGCCTATTCGTGCATGGCCCGAAGCATGGGTCTCCCACATTAAGTACGTAGTATGGACAAATTATGAATAATCATATTGTAACTTGTCATCAAGATTTAGAGCGCGTACCAAATTATCAGAGCGATCTGTCGTCAGGAAAGGAGTAAAATTCCAATTGCAAGAGTAAATAGTAAAATTCCAATAAATAAGAGCAGTGAGTGTAGTTTATGTACCAAAATTGTACCAGTAAAGATTAAATGTAACCAATTTGCATGCCAATAATGGTAAATGTGTTGATCTAATTATATTGTAGCAGCCCGTCCCGGCTTCGCACGGGGTAGACTAGAGTTTATTTTTGGAAATTTGGATTGTTGTAGTGACATAACTACAATAGTTGGACATATGCTACCGTGGAGTTTTTTGTAGACATTATGATGTTCCTCAATATTGTTGTACATTATTTTGTTCTACCGCTAATAGTTTCGGCAGCGCATTTGACGAAAGACATTTTAGGGTAGTTCTCAAAAAAGTGGCACAGTAACCTGTCAGCCAGTTTTTAGTAGATACGAGTATTTTTTATTAGGGCTACTGATCTTTTCTATACAAAATTATACATAAAGAGACTTTATACATTAAGGCCGAGTGAAAATGAGAAGTTTAGAGTAATACATTTCAGAAAAATAAAAATTGTAATGCCATTTTCTCAGTAACTTGTCGTGTCCAAACACAATGAGTCTGACTTTGAGGTGAAATAAAAAATTAATACCTATCAATAAGCACTTAAATAAAATAAAACACAATTCGTTATATGGTTGTTTTAACGTGATTTTGATTGTTGCACGTAAACACATATAGTTCTTGAGATATTTATTCCCAAATTGTGTCCAGAGACTTTTTCTCCACAACCTGGTGTTGCACACTACTGACCATTACCCACAGACTATTACGTTAGCAACACGCTACCCCAGCGCGAAATGGGCCGACACTATCGGGCTACCTGATGTCAAAGAAAGAAGCGATCAGTATGTGTTTGTTTTCTTAGAAAATACATCGATACATCGCAATCGGATTTTGTAACAGGTATGTTGTCTATTATCTGACCTATTTATTTTTGTTTGTATGTTAATCGCTTCGAAATGTTTTATTCTAAAATGTGTGAATAGGTGCCTGTATATGATTCTATAAGTGATAGTTAAAAAATACTAACCGTTTTGTTGGTATCGCATTTTAACCTACGTTTCCTCAATAACCTGTGTGTCTTTACCCTGTTGAAAATGCACAGGTTAAAGAGATTGCTAACAGGTTAAAGATACATTACCCATTTTTTAATACAAATTCATTTTACTCGTGAAATTCAGTTATAAATTACTTAGGTATTAACACTTAATATCCTTACTAGTTATATATTTGAGTTAATTGATGAGTTAAAATAATTTTTATTACTCTTTGAATAAATAAATTTGGTTTTCTTTTAATGATATAATAAATTATTATTACTATTTAGGTTTTTTAGTTAGGTCAGCTAGACAAGGTTTAATCTATTTTTTCCTGCTTTCAAAGGTAAAATCCCAAGAAATAAGAAGAGAGAAGATACTTTAGCGTGAAAAAGACAACTTGAAAAAAAGGGATATGAAAATATTAAAAATGATTCAGAACTATACGCAAAATACAAGGAAAAATATAAAAAAAATATAGAATAATATAGAAACGAAAAAATGAAGGAAAAGTAGTATTTGTAAATAATTTAACACCAAGGGATTAAAACCGTTAAGAAAAAAGGGGCGATAAGATGCTAAAACCTATCAACATAAAAACAAGATTTAATTTTGATTAGTAATATAGCTATTAGTAATACATTAGTGATCTTAGAGAACAATAGTGATAGTGAACTTCCGCGAAGCTTTTATCAAAGTAGAAGAATGACTAGATCGAATTCTAGGTCTAAAGAACGGTTAAAATATGACGAAGCTGTTATTCACGTCGATTACTTGGAAAATTATAAATGCGCTTACTCAATATCGAAATACATAGTCGTCGACATAGTTACTATAAAATTTATAAAAATATACTTTGGTATCACAGCTTTAAAATGGATCTACTCTGAATCTGTTCACAGTAAAGGAGCTCCAGATGGAGTTGGGGCCGTATTAAAACGTCCTGCTGATTTAAGTGTGAGCCATTGAAATGATGAGCAGGATCTCGAAACTTTACACAATTTTTTAGACTTTTTGAAAAAGTTTTGCCTTTACCAAATACTTTACTACCATTTAAAGGAACACAGAAAATTAACCAAATTCTATGGAGTAATGCAAAGCCAGAAATGGTAGTGTTAAGACAGCTTAGTCGTACAAAAGAAACCTGTTTAACTGACGTCGAATTCTGTAAACACTTTATACATCTGGGTTTTCACCGAGTTATTACAGAGGAAGTTATCTCACCAGCAATACCCTACCCAGATGGCCAAGAAAAAGACCGTCTGCTATAACTTCATCTCGAACTTTAGGCAATTGTTTTGACTCTGATGAAGATAGCATTGTTACCTCTAGTAGGAATGTAGCAGATAATCTAATTCCACCAGAATTAGTAAGTATTCTTTATATATCGACATCGTTTTCAGTTTTGTCTGAAATGAAATTACCTCCGGAAGTACTCCAAAGAAGTACATTAGATAAGATAATAGATGAAGGGCCTGCGAAAGTGACTGTGTTCCCGTTGAATTCTTTTAAGAATATTATAGATATGTTAATGATTCGGACTGCTCTATTTTTTAACTATTAACTATTTTCTATTTTATTTATGATTGTTTACATAAGGTGTTCAAAAATATCTGTAACAAATAGAAGGAATCATTGCACTCATCAATCTGAACAACTGTTTCATTGGGACCAACTCTGAGCTTGTGAAAAAGCGATTAAGTTCTCGACACATTTTTGTTGACTTAAATGTATGGAGATCACAATTATGACGTTTTTATCTCCGTTACAGAATCGGTCTCATAGAAATGGTTGTTCAGAACTGCAATCGCCCCGTTCATTTATTGCAGACATTTTACTGACAAATTTTAAGTCATAAGAAGAAATTATAAGCACTTAGTACTTTTAGAATTACCATTGAGAGGTGGTTTAAGACTGATTGGCATATACAGTGAAACTTGGTTAAGTGGGACCTGGATAAGTGCGAAACCTCAATAAGTGGAACTCATGCTGAGGTCCCAACACTTTGGCACTGAATTACCTGTGTTAGTGGGACGAGGTAAACCTCTATATCTGGGATTTGTTCTTTCGATTTATCATCATAGTTACCTCTATAACTGAGACAGCGAGTAAATTTTATATGTATAAACCTCTGTAACTAAGATAATATTGTTTGTTTAATCATTTTTATTCTACCCACAAATTCCCCATGTCCACATATTTCCAAGTCCACCTCTATTAATGGAACTCTCTGTAAATGAGACAGATATTTATTTATACCTGTATATCTGAGACACTGGGTAAGTGGAATACCTCTATAAGTAAAACGACATTGCAGGTCCCTTGATGTCTCACTTAACCAGGTTTCACTGTAATTTAGTTATGAGAAAATTTACCTAGTTTGTTCTAGTTGAAAAACAAAAGACATGTTTATCATAATGTTTATGTTTTTTTTTTAAAAATAATAAAATTGCTAATTGTTTTAGACTGATTAAATTTTACTTTAGATTATGAAAATATAGCACAGCTATTCTATTTGTGTCTGTATCCGTAAATGTTTAAATTAATGTTTAATTCACGTCAGGAAGTTGTGAATTATTATTATTATTATTAAAACCGTTATTTTTGTTAGTTTATGTGATAAAATAAACGCAGATTTTGCATAATTGCATTGCTTTTTTCTGTAACCTGTCTATTTCTATTTAACCTGATATCGTTTTCTCAATAACCTGTACAAAACCTCTTTAACCTGTGAGGTCACTTTTTTGGAAGGCTCTATTTCACTCAATTTCCAGTTAATCTGCTTCCCTTTCATTAATTCTGTTTCAGTAAAACACTGCCAATTGATTTATATTAAAAAAACTCGACATTTGAAATATTTTTTGAAATTGACAAATTAATTCGATCTGAGCCACTTTTTTGAGAACGACCCTTTAAGACTCATTTTTCTACACCTTTGATTTGTTCAAATTTTACCAAGGATCCCTAATTTTTTTCAAAATGAAATGCAGCCTATGGCAAATTGGAAGAATGTAGCATTCTATTGATGAAAAAATTTTTTAAATCGGCCCAGTACTTTTTGGGCTTATTAATTACAAACATACAAAAATAGGTACAAATCTTTCCTCTTTATATTAGTTCTTTATTTATTAGTATAGAGGTATAGATGTAACATCTATATCATGTACCACATTAAGCAAATAAAGAATTATTATTATTAAAAAAGACCCTTACAAACAAACGGGGCGAGCCAAATAAAATCGTTTTAGAACATCATAATGTCATGTACCTACTTCAGGTAATGTTAATGATATTTTCCAGGGAGATCAAGATCCTGGCAGCTCTGAATGTCTCAGGGTTCACTCCGACCTCCTCCCACGATTACTACCGCGAGGAGTTCGGTAACCTGAACGATAGTCTGGTTGCGAAGTACAACCTTACTGGATGTACCATGAGCAGGCAGTTGGAGGAGGTAAGATGCCTTTATTGATATTCTCCACTCAATATTTTTGCAGTGTAGGAAACTTTTCAGGTATTGAAATTGAGATTTTATCAGTAAGACACTTAAATGTAGCTTTACGTGGTGTGTCTGGTGTAACCATCATCATTAAAAAGCCACTAGACTTAATATAGTCGGCTCCCAATAACTTCACTTTTAAGGGACCTATATCTATGAATTTCTGATGAATATTAACCTAATCTACTTTCATCATCGTGATCATATTACCCAATGGGACTTTAAGTATCGAAAAACTCAAAAAAACTTTGCTTAAACCCTAAAGTGTAGGATGTTAGGAAGTATGTAAGTATATACAGCCTTGGCCAAAAGTATTAGGCACCCTATGAATTATTGCATATTTTTGATTTATAGAGAAACAAAACTACTTTTGTTGATTAATTAACTTTATTTCTATTACAAACATACAAAAACATTAATATTTTGTTGGACCACCCTGTAAATTTATCACAGCAGCTACTCTGTGAGGCATACTGTGTACAAGGTTTACGCATTCCTCTTGAGAAATTGCTTCCCATTCGTGAAGTAAGGCGCATTTTAATGCAGTTTTTGATGTTGTGGAATATATTTTGATTTCTTTCTTTAAAATACCCCCCAAATGTTCAATTGGATTTAGATCCGGGAACTGGGCAGGCCAAACTAACAGGTCAATACATTTGTCAGTAAACCTGTGTAATGTGTCGCTGAATTATGACAAGGCGCGTTTTCCTGATGAAATTTAACACCGTGTAAATTAGTGTCACCAAAAATACACGAAAATGAAGGTATAACAGCACTTTCTAATACATTTATGAATTTTGCACTGTTCATGTGACCTTCGTAAATGCACATTATGCCGACTTCATTCACAGCCATGCAGCCCCAAATCATTACGAGGCTTCTGCCGTGGTTTATGGTTGGGACTACGCAATCTGAGTGATATTCTTCGCCTCTGCGTCGGCTCACAAACGTCACACCTGGTGTTCCAAATACCTGAAATGATAAAACAAAATTGACACAATACAAACATTTATAACATTTGAGTTTGAAGACTAATGCAATAATAATCGTTGCAATTGTGTTATAGACTCAATTAATAAAACTTACCTCAAAGTTTGATTCGTCGACCATTGTACATTTGAACAATCCTCCTCTGTGAAATGTTGGTGTCTCAGAGCCCAACCAAGACATTTTCTTTTGTTCTCTACTGTAAGCCACGGCTTCTTTCTGGGTTTGTAACCTTTTAAAACTGCTTCTATTAGCCTTCGTCTTGCAATCCGAGCGCTTATGCGTTTACCAGTCTCTTCAGATAAAGCTGCAGCAAGCTCCAAAGTATTTTTTTTACGGTCTTTGATACGCTCGCAGTTATGTTTCCTGTCCTGGTAGCTAGCAGTCACGCTATTTCTGCCTGTTTTTGTTTTATTCGCATCAGTACCGGTCCCAGCAAAACGTTTAATAGAAGATTGAACTGCGCATCGCGAATATTTTAACAACTTCGCAATTTCTTTCTGGGTCTCTCCTTGCTAATGTAAAAGTTTGACTTACACACGATTTTAAGACTAATTTCGTTTCTCTTTAGCATTTCTAAATAAATTTGTTCTCTATTTAATCAAAAAACTGCAAATGTTCTGTCTTTAAGCGAAGACTTCGAAATACAGACTGATCAGACATTAAACGTAAGTTTTGTAAAAAAATAATATTTCGTTATTGATGCACCAGATGTTATACAACCACTCAAATATTGCCGCCCAATATCTTAAATAGCGGTTTATGACACCGAGATCATCTTTCAAAAGAATATCAACTAATTGTTTAAATAGCACGTGTGCATGGGACCTTTATTGGGGGTGCCTAATACTTTTGGCCAAGGCTGTATATAAGTGTACGATTTCGAATAAAATTCCCTACATTTAGTACCTCTCCAAAATTTTCAAGGAACCCCTAAACTTAGTATAGGTGACATTTAACGTCATTGTCTGTTTTCACCAACCTTTAAGTGACACCTAGCATTAAGTAAGTAAGGGGATAGTTTAGGTGCTACATCACGCCAAGCGCCTTTTAGTTAAGTGAATCTGGAATTGTCTCTTACGATTGGTTATAAACCGACCCCTTATAATAAGATGATAATTGTACTCTTTATTTGTCCAGGCTGCTGAAGGTACAGGCTTGGCCTTCATAGTCTTCACGCAAGCGATCCTCAAGCTCACTCCAGCGCCGTTCTGGTCCATCATCTTCTTCATGATGCTCCTCTCCTTGGGGCTCGGCAGTCAGATCGGCATCATGGAGGGCATGCTGTGCACCATATTCGATATTGACTTCTTCAAACGACTTAGCAAACCTGTTATAACTGGTGAGTACTTCTATTTTTAATAGATTTCAATAAAAGAAGAAGGTTGTCAGTTGGACCTGTGTGTATGTTTGTGCGCAAATTTCTCACGATTGGCTGATCCGATTTTGATGCGGTTTTCAATAAAGTGTTTGTTAAACTTAAGAGAATGTTCTGTTTAGTGTGTTAATTAATCGAGTTCAAAAGAGTGGGGATTGGAGTCGGTGTTTTTAAACGTAATTTATACATGAAGTTATAATACAAGATTTTGTCTAATTTTTTTGGAGCCAATGTTCATATGGGTTATCAGAATTACTTATGGATAATCAGATGGGAAGTGATCAGCTCTGTTTATGGACACTTGTACTGGAGGAGTTAAAACTGCGTTGTCGACTTGTGCATGTCCTTAATTTAGTGTCCAGTCTATGTCCTCTTGGTTCCCTTTTTATTACGAAACTTACATCCCAAAGAGCATTGCCTAAAAGTGGTCCCTTTCTTTTTTCTGGCAGCAATGATTACTATCTAAAATAAACATGGAAATCACAGTTCGGACTGAGGTTTTGATATAAGGCCTCATAGACTTTTTTAATACATAACTTCACGCCTGCCTCCCATGGGGGTAAGCAGAGACTATGAAACGCGAATATAATTTTTTGTTTGTATATTGTTTTGCATCAGTTTTTCCACATCCGATCAACTGCTGCGAATAAATTAATAAGCACCACTCTCTATACAAATGAGGTCATTGTCATTTCAGTCTCCTGTGCCCTTTGAACCTAAGGACCAGAAAAGCTAAAAGACTATTCGTATTATTTTGGACATTTCATGCTTTTAATGGTTATTCTTTGAAAAACAGAACACACGAAGATCGGTCTTGTCATTTTTGTATACAGTTTCCGATGGTGTAATTTTAAACAAATTTAATAAGTAAATATTTTTTCTCAATCAAGTACAGTCAAAGGTCAAAGGTCCACTGCCATCGTGAGTGATGTTGACACGACAATGCGTAAATAATTTCATATAAACAACGCACGCGTACGCACACGGATAAAAATATGCGTGTGCATGTGTGAATAAGCGCTGCAGCGCAACCGATAGTAGTCTTACGGTGGCAGTGGACTTTTGACCTTTGACCGTACATCGTCATCATCATCACCCACAGATCACACCCCATAGAACACTTCCTTTAGTCTTTCCTTCTTCTTTAGTCCTTGAATAGCCTATACAGTATCCACTTCAATTTCTAACTTCTTACAACAAAAATCTTCCCTAGGTATCGTCTGCACCTTCTGTTTCTTCGTGGGCCTGATCTTCACGACCGGCGCTGGAGAGTACTGGCTCAAGATGTTCGATTCCTTCGCTGGAACCATCGGCCTGGTCGTCGTCGCTCTGCTTGAAATGGTCGCTGTGGTCTACATTTATGGCCATGTTAGGTAAGTGTATTTTTTAAATGTAACGAGATTATCAGCTTGATAGTTAATATATGCATGATGACAGGGTATGAAAATAAAAAGTCTATTTAGTCCGTCTATTTAGTCTGTCGTATAAGAAAACAATACTTAGATAAAACGAATCAAAATTTAGGAGTGGGAGTCATTTTTGTGAAATAATCGGATATAAAAGTGACGTCACGCGATATTTCAAATCAATACATCGTCGAATGTATTTCTTTCCGTAAGAAAATAAAAAATACGTGTCTAATGTTTTTAAATAATCTATCAAACGGATATTAGAATAAAATTTTAGTCACCTATCATAGGCTACTAACAAGTTAGGCCGGTCTAACTAGTAACGAAACTTCAGACTTCCGCGCTATAGTTTATTATATATATTTTTAGTCTTGAAGTTCAATCTATTGGATAATGTCATCGCTCAGTGAATTTTAATACAGTCGAGGAAGCTATACTATATTCAATACTTAGCAATCAATTGGAGAAGAGCTGAGGATATAATTCAATCTAAGTTTGGTCAAATCGACCTCGAAATATTCGATTGAATTTACAAATCACCGTTAGCAACTAACTGTGTTGAAATTTGCAATGTCCAAAAAATTCTTAGCTGCTTTTGATAGGTAAAGCCATCTGAATCTTTTGTTAATCTCGCATTTTATTTTATTTTACGTTCCCTATAATTTCCATTGCAGATTCACCAACGACATCTACGAGATGACGGGCTACCGGCCCGGCTTGTACTGGCAGATCACCTGGAGATACGTCGGACCATTCATCGTGACCTGCATCCTTCTGTCCTCGCTCGTCTTTATGCTGATCAACCCACCCACTTACGGCGCTTGGAATGCTGATGAGGTAAGATTTTAGATTTATTATAAAAATCAAGGTCAAAGTCAAGATCAAAGTGGAGTTCAGGGTCAAAATCAAGATCAAAGTCAATGTTAACTTCAAAGTCAATATTAAGGTCAAGTTTAAATTCGAAGTCGATTTGATGTTTTACTTAAGAAGTCGATAGTCTAATAACTAATTAAAAATAAAATAAAAATTATCATGGACTAGCCATACCTATGTTGTCATATATAACTTGTCTATATCTAGGATTGTTAAACATGGCCAACTCGTCACTCGTCTTCATGTTTATCGATCTCACAAATTATAAAACTGGAACAGCTGAGTGAATTTTAACACTGTATATGACAATGTCACGGTCATCTTCAAAGTCTGACTGCATGGTTGGTGCGGTGGCTGGGCAACCGGCTGCCGTGCAACGTGTCGCGGGTTCGATTCCCGCACGGAACAACACTTTGTGTGATCCATAAATAGTTGTTTCGGGTCTGGGTGTGTATGTGAAATTGTATGTTTGTGAACGCACCCACGACACAGGAGAAAATCCAAGTGTGGGGCAACGTTTTTTTTAATAAAAAAAAGTCAAAGTCAAGTTTAAAATTAAAAAGATTTTTGATTTAAATCGAATAAAAACTACGACTAATAAAGATAGTATCTTTTAATTAAATTCAGAATGAAGTTTACAATACTATACATAATAATTATTCAATTAAAAATCAAATATAAATTTTAGCTCTTCTTGTCGTATTTTTGCATGAAAAGGTCCCAGAATGCCATCCTATGTCTGTAAGCGTAATCTTTCATGGACATTCCAATGTCAATGTTCAGGTATTGTCTGGCATTACCAGATACAGGGGTCCAAGTCACTGGGAGGAGGGGCGTCTTCTGCGGGGTTGGGTTTCTGGAAATATTAAAGAAATATTGTATATAAAACCTGTGTAGCTAATGGAAAATTTTGTCACCATCTTTACTTTTCCCACGAATGTAATCATGGGTTTTTTTGAGGGATAAAATCATTCAACATGGACTTCTCCCGCCTTGAGTGAAGCAAGAGGCAGTGTCAGAGTCTTACTCACTAAAAACCACCCCGTTCCTAAACCTTTTTCGAGCCGGGCCCCGGCAACCAGCTTGATAGTCTACAGCTCCAGGACTAGACATTTGAAAGAAATAAGTGGTCAGCGCTCTCTGATAAAAATGATCATTTTTAAACTGCCATCTCTAACCCAGATCCATCAAGAAGATTCTATAAGGTCTAGATGTGACTATTTTTATAAAATCACAGACCACGTGAGCGCAGCTGCGGATATTCTAAGTGTGGGGGAGTCATGCTTTGGTACGAATGGGGCTCGACTGGAGTGATACCACGGCCTCACAGAAAACCGACGTGTAGCAACGCTTGCGTTGTGTTTCGTCGAGTGAGTGAGGTTACCGGAGGCCCAGCTCCCTCCCCCCTTCCCCAATCTCCCCAATCCAACAACAATCCTCAAACTCCTCCAAATCCCAAAACGTGTTCCAGGTGTCCATGGGCGACGCCGATTGCTTACCATCAGGTGATCCGTCTGCTCGTTTACGTTATATGCCATACAAAAAAAATGTATGTATTTATTAGCACAAATAATTTCCCCAGCGACGTAATTGGACACTCTACCCGATAATGTATCAACAAGATTATTTCGAGGGCTCTTGTAATATAATTTTACTCTGTAAATAGATTCTGATCTGATAGGAAATAATAATACAAACTTTACTGTAAAATTGTGAAAATGTTAAAGCGACACCCTTTAATACAAGTGACAGCAGGCGTTGGCCTGTTGCACTCAAAAACCGCAAACCACTACATCTGATTATAGTCTGGCGACTGATTGCAGATCAACAGTTATAATAAAAAAACACAGATTTTAATGTAGGACCTACGAGAATAGCATATCGAATAGGACATACATTTTTTTAGATATCAAATCTTTATAGGTATATCTTACAAAAGGCACAAAAAAGTTGGACGCAAAAGCCCAAACCCGGCCAAACCGTATGGTAACTAGGATCCTAACTAGCTTGGTACAATGCTACTTAAAAAGTGAACAAACACTCACCCAAGCTTAACAAAGTTAGTCCACATAGTCGTCATTCGATTCCTCAACCTTTGTTCATCAGAAGTCAATTTTACACCAGTTTCAAATAAATACTTCAACTCTTCAGTGTGTACTGCTCCAGCACCCGTTATGTTCTGATACACACTGCCTCCTATGTACGAGAACATATATTTATACACCCTCCCTCCCTGTTCTAAGAACTTAGAGACAGATTTCTCAACAGCATAATTCAATTTAAAGTCGGAAGAATATTCACTCAACTCCAAAATGGACTCCGGTCCAATCCTCTTACTTCCAAGATAGAAACTCTTTGTAATATTACTCAAAGTCTCCAATTCGCAAGTTTTCAAAACGAAATGATTCTGCAAATTCTTGTAGAAGATATCTCCTAAGCTGTCGAAGAACTCCATCGGTTTGTTCGCGTAAGTCGCGAAATCTTCTTTGCTGTTGTAGCCGATCATTATTGGTATGTTCTCAATGCGATCTGGGTTACTCAAGTGATTTATGCATTTGGTGACGAATTGCTGGGTCCCCTTGAAGCGGACTTCTTTACATACTGTCATTTTATAACCTAAATTTTTTGCTGCATTCATCACCAACACAGGATTTTCTTTTCCCAACGCTTCCAAAGCTTCTCTTGTGTTCGCCACTCTAAACCCTAATTGATGTGCTAGTTTTATCGCTGCATCATGGTCTCGGTTCCCATAAAACCCTGGAGTATATAAGGAGCCGCTTTGAATGATCACTTTTTCAAATAACGTTTCGTACTTGGAGTACAGATGCAAGTCTACAGCACCACCTCCATAACTTTGACCGGCTATAGTGACCTTGGTTGGATCGCCACCAAAAAATTCTATATTCTTTCTAACCCACCTCAGAGCGCCTATTTGGTCTTTTAGTCCTTGGTTTCCTGGCACAGCAGCGTCGTTCAAACACATGAATCCATAAGGGCCAAGTCTATAATTGACTGTGACTACAATAATGCCATGTTTGATCAAATGTTCGCCGCCATATTCTTGGGCGCTGCCAAAGGTGAATCCGCCACCGTAAAACCAGACCAACACTGGCACTGTGCTATTGACATTGGCCGTATTTGGCACATAAATGTTGAGTCGAAGACATTGTAGTGTGCCTCCAAAGCGCGTTGTTACTTGAGGACAAAATATGGAGGAGTCATTGGCGAAGAATGGGTCTTGGAAGATCGGATGAACTAGGTAGCTCTGGAAATTGAAAATTATATGGAAAATTAGGAATTATGTAGATACTACATGTATGTTGAATCTTAAGTGGATTTCTTTACAAATAATGATCGAAGAACCTTTAAAAATTTCGTCATTTTATTTTATCGTCTTTGTTTCGTTAATAAGTAAATGAATCATTACAAATGCTATGACTCAAAAGTGCATCATCAGTCGGTTTGAGTGAATAAAGGAACGAAAACTTTACATAATCATTTAACAAAAAAATTCTAACCGTTTGATTCAACTAGTGCATATTAGCCAAATGGCTAGAAGATCTTGCTAGTTAATAATAAAATTGTAAGGCTACTTACTCCAAAAGGATTATCCTCGTTAACCTTGGCATACGGCACTCCAAAGAAAACGCTATACCCATCGCGTTTGATGCCTATAATAGTTCCTTTACTCGTATTTACGGTCACATTTGCGATCTCACACTTCGAAACGACCAAAATTGATAACAATGTAAGAAAAATATATAACATTTTGCTCTGAAGTGTTGAGCAATATTGAACTTGGAGCAACTGGTGGCTCTTATTTATAATGGTCGTCGGTGAAGTACTGTCTTTCAGAGTTCCTTGGGCGTTTCGTAAGACCCGGTCTGGGAGTCCCCGACGATGGTCGATGCGGGTTATTTGCGTAGCTGATTCTGTCATTGCGTTCTAGGCTGTTCATTGATTATGATTTGTGTTTTGTATGTGTGTTTTGCAAATCGTATAGGTAATAACGACAGAGTTCTTTTATCACCTGCCTCATTCTTAACACCGATGACATAAGCTTCGATTACGGGATTTCTGCTATACATTCGACAGAGGCTTTGTTATAAACCTGAAAAACTGTTTTTTAAACTGCAATCCTTATCCTGCTAAACTGGATATTATGGCAAACCCTCAAGAGGGGAGTGAATAGATTTCTTAAGGGTCGGCAAGGCACATCTAATGCCCCAAGTGTTGCAAGCGTATATAGGCCACAGTAACCGCTTGCTATCAGGTGGACCGTGAGTCTGGGTGTCATGTGTATGTGAAATTGTATGTTTGTAAACGCACCCTCGATACCGGAGAAAATCCTAGTGTGGGGCAACGTTATAAAACAAATGAAATCGAAGTATACAACTCCAATGACAAAATAATAACTTAAATCAGATACACATACGGAACCGTAATCCATTAACCGAACATGTTTACTATATATAATGACTACAAGTTACAACTAAATGTTTCATTTGGCCCGCTAACAATACTACGGTGCTCTATTTGAGGCACAACAAATGAAACAGTTTATGTAAGCAAAGACGACGAACGAACTTGTTTTGTGTAACAGCTTTATACTTTTTAAATAGACTCTATAGGTACCTAGGTTACCTACTTCACATCGCACAACGGCCTGTAAACTCATTGTTTAAATCAAATCTTATATTTTTTTTTATACCACGACCGTGGCAAAAATTTACAAGGCCTATGTATGCGACACGCCTGCGACATGCGTCCTGCCGACCCTTAAGAAACCTATTCACTCCCTTCTTGACGAACCCCATGTTGTAGACCACTGAGAAAACCACGACACGGGAGTTCATTCCACAATCGGAAGTTCCGTGAAAGTAGTATTAAAATTCCGGAGGCCCAATTACCCTCCCCTTCCCCAATCTCCCCAATTCCTGAATCCCCAACGATCCTCAAACTCCTAATCCCCAAAAGGCCGGTAACGTACTTGTAACGCCTCTGGTGTTCCAGATGTCCATGGGCGACGCCGATTGCTTACCATCAGGTGATCCGTCTGCTCGTTTACCGGCTTATGCCACAATAAAAAAAAAGAAATAGTAATTGTAAGCGCAGGTTTCCTAACGAAGTTTTCCTTCACCGTTTGTCAGTGGTGTCTAAATAATCTTAGAAAGTACATATAAATCGGAAAAAGCCACTTTGATACTTGCCGTTGGTGGGTTTTGATCCCACCGCGCCTTCATGCATTAGAAGCGGAAGAATGCACTGTCAAACACCAAGCGGTCACCGGTGACCGCAACCTATTGTTCTATAATTGTGTCTATAATGACGGTACTCGACGAGTTAAATCGCTGTGCCACCACGACTAGGCAAAAGAACACATAGGTAAATATATAAATGTCAATGTAAAAAGGGACAAGCCTATTACTAGTACATAAATATTGCTGACTGCCTATTGTTGGCCGAGTGGTCGCAAGGGGTCTCAGGTTCTATTCGGGCACGGGTTGTCGGGGTCGAGCAAAGTATTACTGGGTTTTTAAAAAAATCTCAGTAGTAGCACGGAGCCTGGATTTACGCCCGGTATATGGCAATAGGCTCACCCCCTATTACATGGACCTTATAACAGTGAAAAGTGGCTGTAACATTGTACAGTAGCATTAAATGCCGTAACATTTAATGTACACCTCTACCTACCCCTTCGGACATGAAAGGCGTGATGATATGTAATAAATAATATGTCATTTCTATATCTCATAGGTACTATATACGATATTTACGGAAAATATGAAACATGTGATGTGCATAGCAAATACATATATGTACCTCTATAATAGCTTGAACTATAAAGTGTCACTCAGGAAAATGGTACCGATAAATAAAACAAAAATAATACATTGACGTACATATTTATTATACTGTAGTCTATTTACAGAATTAAATAGATCATTATTTCGTATAATAATAGTGACTATTATTGTATGTACAATAATAGGCTGTTTCTTGTAGCCTGACTAGTTTTACAGTATGGGAAGTGCTTCTGCTTAAAATGGCCAACAATAAGTCTTGATACTGACTGACTACGCTTGCTTAAAGAGGATTGGTGATTTCATACTAAACAATAAAAATCCACCCCATTCCTACTCACACCATCTGTGGTGGTCTGATGGCGCATGGGTCTGGTTCTGGTCGGGCGGCGAACTAGCGACACTTGGTCGGAGATCGTCGCGCAATCTCAAACGCCTGGAGTGTCTCCAGCGACGGCTGGGGCTTAAGGAAGTTCGTATCTCACACGCCCCGCCTCCTTGGCTAGCATGACTGCTTCGCAGTAAGAGAAAACGGCATCCCAGTCCCCCTCACTCCGCACCATGGCCTGAACCAGAACGCGAGGGGTCGCCGTCGCCGACCATATCCCTGAGGACACAGCGGTGCTTAACCCACGCAGGGCACACCGTCACCGTAATACCGTAACCGTATGGTCCACCATGTCCTGGTGACTTGATTTTTACAGTGTATGAATAATTTAATCTTAAATTACATGACACATTTCTTACTATGCATATACAAGGTGTTTTAAAGCCGCGTCATTTTCTAGGAGGTAACTCGGCTAGCGATTCTGAGTCAATATTTTTCAATTTTCTGTAAATTACGGAAATCCGTAAGTGCGAACTACACGCCGCCGTCTTGTACCTAGCTTTATAACGCGACTTAACACACACACAAAATCAAATACGTAATTGATATTATTCCTAATTCCATAAAACTCCAATTAGAACCATTGCTGTCGCTTATTCTGAAATACTGTCGAACTTAAACTATTTATTATAGCCGTATTTTTTACTATTGGCACCGAAATTTTCTCTTTCATTAAACCTTTATGACTTCTGTGACATGCCCGCGAGAAATGACACGGTAACTACACCTTGTATAGTAATTTTAAGTGGTATATTAAACGCTTGAAACAACGCTTACTTTATGTTTCGTTGTGGGGTTGAGACTACCAGAGGTGGATCATTTGTAACCCTTGTAATGAAACATGTTTCAAATTAATGAATTAAGTTACTGTTAGCACCAATCTATTTAACAAACAAAGGCCTTAGTACGAGTTTCATTTACGTTTAAAGTATTCGAAACGAGTACGCGTTCGGCACTCTGATTGGCTGGCGCCAATGAACCAACCAATCACAGCGCCGAACGCGTACTCGATACGATCACTTTAAACGTAAAACAAACTCGTACTAGGGCCTCAGCAAATTTTTTTTTTTTTTTTAAGGGGGGAAAATCATCGAATGACTGCTCCCGCCTGGGTGAGGCGGGAGGGAGTGTCAGACTTTTACTGACTAAAAACCACCCCGTTCCTACTCCTTCCCTTTGAGCCGGAGCCCCGGTAACCATTTAAGTCCTCCGCGGCCTCAGCTAATGTTAGCTTTCCAAAAGGTATAACTTTGCTTTTGCATGAATTTAAATGAATAGGTTGCTTAAGAGCAGGCTTGTTCCATCACCAGGCGATATAGCGGTGAAACATGTAAAAAAACTAGTCAATTGATGTTTCAAGTACCTAGTTACCTAATACCACATAGTCTATGTTCACATTGATTGTAAGTGTCTAATAAATTAGCAGTTACAATGTAGATTCTTAATAAGCATTCTTAGAATGCCTAGGCGTTAATAATAGCAATGTGCTAAACAACTTACACAATCATGTAAAAAATGAGTACACAAAAGTGACATTTCGGTTCCAGAGAAAAACCAAATTTCCTTCTACATTTTTAATTCGGATATTTACAAATGGTTGACTAATATTTTCTACTTTCATTTTTGACGTTTTTAATTCAATACTGTTCTTATAATTACTGTACCTATAATTTAATTTAATTCTTTTAATTTAAAAGAAAATTATGCTTAGTGTATGTATGCCAAAATAGGTTCCAAAATGCCATTCTATGCCTGAATGTACCCTTCTTCATTTGCATATCAACGTCTATGTTCATGTACGGTCTGGAAGTTTCCGTGACAGACGGCCAGTGCAACGGCTGGAAATCTACAGGAGTTGGGTTCCTGAAACCGAAATGTTCATTGCATTAATAAATATGACAGCATAATTAGATAAAGGTTCTCACGAGTCCAGTCTGTGGAAGAATATTTATAAACAGAGTTGGATTTTCCAGCCTCGTGAGAGCCCATGATAGACGCAAGTAGTCTAGTAGGCTAGATATAATCACCGTAGCATTATAAAATGATAACAACATAACTTAACATCACGCCTTTTATCCCGAAGGGGTAGGCAGAGGTGCACACAGAGGTAACACCCACTTTTCACTATTTATGTTATGAGTCCCATGTGGTGGTGAGCCTATTGCCATATACCGGACACATTTCCAGACTCCGTGCTTCTACTGAGATTTTTTTTTAAAAAACCTGTAATACTTTGCCCGACCCGGGAATCGAACCCGAGACCCCTTGCCTTGTATAAAGTCTACAATATCATTATTAACTTAAGAGATTTAATTTTGAGTTTAGTCAAAACTTTTATCGAAATAATAATGAATGAATAGGCTCAAAAAGTACTGGGTCGATTTAAAAACTTCTTTCACCAATAGAATGCTACATTCTTCCAATTTGACATAGGCTACATTTCATTTTGAAAAAAAAAATTGTTTACCCCGTGCGAAGCCGGGACGGGCTGCTAGTAGGTTATAAAGTAACGCTCTTACATGTCATATACCAACTAAAGTTCGCTTTGTATCAACGACTTACCCGTGTTTGACAAAATTAGCCCACATCCTTATCATCCTCTCTCTCATCATGAGCTGTTCAGCGTTCGTCAGCGGGTTTGCCCATATCCAGTCGAAGAGGAACTTCAGCTCCTCCGTGTGAGAGGCACCGGCTCCTGTGATGTTCCTATAATCACTAGCACCAGTGTACGAGAACAAATACTTGAACACCTTAGCTCCTTGTTCGATATACCTGTTGGTAGACCACTCGACTCCATAATTTATTGCAAAGTCCGATAGGAAGTTACTCAGTTCCAATTGTGCTTCAGGCCCAATCTCTTTATATCCCAAATAGAAATGTCTTATTATACTGCTAATCTTTTCAAGTTCTTTTTGACTTAAAAGGAAAGTTTTTTCAATCTGCAACCCAAAAGGATCCCCCAGATTATCGTAGAACGACTGCGGCTTGTTCGCGAATTCGAATAACATTTCTTGACTCGTGTACCCTATCATTATTGGCATACCGTCTATTCTGTATGAGTTCCCCAAATGGAAGGGGTTTTCGGTGATAAAGTTCGGTACACCCCTAAATCGCTTTTCCGCACATACTGTTAGGATCATACTCAGGTTTCTAGTTGCAGCGTTTACATCAGCAGGTTTGGCTTTAGCAAGTATTCTCAGAGCTTCGCTAGTTATCGACACATCATATCCTAATTGCTTTACCAGTTTAATTGCCGCCTTATAATCTGGTTTTACGAAAATTCCTTCAGTTACATACATAGAACCACTTTGGACGATAGCTTTGTGAAATAGAGTTTCGTATCTTGAATACAAATGTAGGTCTACTGCTCCTCCGCCGTAACTCTCGCCAGCGATGGTGACTTGATTGGCATCACCACCGAAGTGTATGATGTGGCTTCTGATCCACCTCAAAGCTTCGATCTGGTCCTTTAAACCTTGATTGCCAGGTACGGTCGGGTTATCCAAACATAAGAAGCCATAGGCTCCTAGTCTATAATTGACTGTTATGACAATGATGTCCTTTTTGGCCAAATATTGGCCGCCATATTCTCCGCCACTGCCAAAGGCGAACCCTCCTCCGTGGAACCAGACCAATATTGGCCGTAAGTTGTTCTTTGCGGCGGTGTGGGGCACGTATATGTTCAGGTGAAGACATTGTATGGTGCCGTTGTCGTTGAAGTAAACTTGTGGACAGATTACTGAGGAGTCGTTGGCGATGAACGGTTTGTCGAATTTTGGATATTCTAAGGCGGGCTGGAATAGAAAATAAAATACAAATTAACACAATGTCCTATTGGTTCCGTGATCGTACAAAACCGTCGTTTGTCGGACAAGGTGTTGTTTTTGGTTTCGATAATTCTCAATAGATCACACGGTATGTAGGTACCAGGGACATGGAAGTAAAAGTTGTACTAAGTGATCATTTCATGGGATTAACAACATAACTGGCGAACAGAAACATTTACATTAATTTATTATCATAACTTCACTTCCGATTAAAAAACTCTAGGCATGTTATAGTTCGCCTAGTCGTAAGTCGCTTGCGAGTCGCGAGCTGTGGTTTATATCAAAGGCTTAAGTCCTTTAGTTGGTATGGACTAATAATATACCATGGTCGTATGGGATGAGTAAGGGGCTGGTGACAAATGTAGGTATTTAGCTTTGCTGCCACATTTTTCAAATGTGGGATAGCTATGATTCGGCACGAATGCTCGACCGTAGTGATACCACGGCCTCACAGAAAACCGCCGTGCAACAACGCTTGCATTGTGTTTCGTCGTGTGAGTGAGATTACCCTAATCTCCCCAATTCCTGAATACCCAACATTACCCCCAAAATGCCGGTAACGCACTTGTAACGCCTCTGGTGTTCCGGGTGTCCATGGGTGACGCCGTTTGCTTATCATCAGGTGATCCGTCAGCTCGTTTACTGGCTTATCCCATAAAAAAACCATTTAGTAAGTCACGATATTCAACTAACATTTATCTATACTCATTATAGCTCAACATAGCTTAAATTCCAAGAACGGGCAAAATTATGTACATTTAATTTTCCATCACATTCCATTCGTCATAGAATACATATTTCGATGAAAATATGCGTTTCATGAGCTATTCTGAATTTTACGTGTCCTATTGAACTACATGTGTGGGCATTCTAAAGTATAATAGACTCGGTTCATAATAGTTGGGTACTATAGTTCGAAACAACGAAACAATCAATGTTCATTTAATGTTTATTAATTACTCATGTGAATAAATTCTGTGGATGACATAACATCATTAATGTAACGTCATGCCTTTATTCACTAAAAGAGTAGGCAGAAAGTGAACATTTTTAATGCAGCATTTGTTTTTGAAATGGGTTTTGTAAAGTTTTTATAATAGCTATCGTGAGACATACTGAGTTAACAAAAAATTTGATTTACTCACGTAAATATACTGAGAAAAGTTCTACTAGTTCTGAGTCACAGAGGGACTGTTTATCGTGAGCAGCGTGTGCGGTTCAGGCGATGTCGCACAGGTTTTATTCAGCTTGCCCCGTTTCTTTGTTTGTTGTTTGTTTGGATCAAATTTGGTAATTAAAATTTCACCCCCTTCCTAATGAGAGATCGATCTGATATTTGGTACACACTCTGAACCTTGATGACCATACCGTACTATTAATTTTTTTCCACAAATACCTTCATTGTTTAACATGGGACTCATAACATAAATAGTGAAAAGTGGGTCTTACATTGTACCTACAGTGGTTTACCTACATATCTCTTCGGGGATAAAAGGCGTGATGTTACGTTATGTTCCTTCATTGTGGATATCAAACGAAAGGACTTGATTGGTTGAATAGAGATCATTAAAACATTAAACCATTAAACATAAAAAATATGTATTTCTTGTTTCATTAGATATGTTATACGTTCCAGATAATATTATCATATATATATTTAATGAAAAAGGTACAAAGTATGACTTAAAATCTAACATAATGTCAACATAACTATGTATGTATGAATAGTTCGACTGCCGAATCTTATTATTTTATTTATTTATTTATCATTTATGGACATACATACAAAACAAAGGACAACACATATATAAAAACGAAGTACATAGATCCCACATATTCCAACTGGAATTTCTTCCTGTTATTTTGTTTTATTGTATCCTGTACTTTTTGTGGTTAAAGTTAAATAAATATGTATGTATACATATTATTATATAATGTTTTGTATAAATATATGTATATGCTAATATTTTTTACGGAGGGAAAATCATCGAATCACTTCTCCTGCCCGGGTGAGGCGGGAATGTCAGACTCTTACTGACTAAAAACCACTCCGTTCTTACTCCTGCACTTCGAGCCGGAGCCCCGGTAACCTTTATATATATACACATAAATATATATATGCTATACAGCGGACAATTCAATACTTCGTTTAATTACTACGAATTTTCGACAAATGTTCAATAATAATTTGCTCCTCTTCCTGGGCTCTGTAACTGTCAATTCGAACTTTTGAATTGAGCTCGAGCGCATTCTCGCCCGTCATTGGTCGAGATTATTTTCACAACCAATGACATGGCGGACCACGATCGGGTTCAAAATAACCTAGCTGAACCCAATTGAATACTCACTCAGCAATCATATTTGGACACATTTTTTTTAAATCAATCCATCAATCACCATCATAACATCACGAATTTTGTCCCCAACAGGGTAGGCAGAGATGCACGTTACGGCACTTAATGCCACTGTACAATGTAACACCCACTTTTCACTAGTTATGTTATGAGTCCCATGTAATTTTGATACTGCGCACAATTCCAGACTCCGTGCTATTACTGAGATTTTTTTAAAAACCCAGTAATACTTTGCCCGTCCCGGGAATCGAACCCGAGACCCTTTGCCCGGCACTCGTACTTCCGACTACTCGGCCAACGAATCAGTCAATAAGAAAAATATTTCGCTCCAGAATCAAAAGAACATTTACTAACGAGAGCTGACATGAGATTTGCAATTCTCTCTTCGGTTCATACAAACTTGTGTTCATAGATTCTCTATTCATAGAATTGGGATGATGACAAGATATGTAAATTAAAAATATAATTAGTCCGCAAGTTAGGTAATGAAAAAATATTAGACACGTATTTTTTTATTTTGTCATATAATAAAATAATACTTAGATATAACGAATCAAAGTTTATAAGTGGGGCCTAAAACGTCATTTCTACGTAGTATAAAATGTACATAGAAGTGACGTCACGCGACATTTCAAATCAATATATCGTCGAAAGTATTCGATTCTGTACGAAAATAAAAAATACGTGTCTAATGATTTAAAATAATCTACCAGACGGACATTAACATACAAATTAGGCATCTACCATATTACCCACGTCAGAAAACTATACATATGTATCTAAATGTTGGGACTGACTGACTATTTGTCAGTTAATTGTTGTATATAAATACCTATCGCTTCACCATTTTCCTTATATATTGTCATACAACATGTACTAGTGCAACGAGACTCATGAATCACTAAAAATATTCCATAAATGTGTGTTCCTAACACCAAATCTGTTTTAAGTGACTTCAAAAGAATTTGTTCTCAGTTTATCCTATATGGATGTTTTTTTTAAGGGGGGGAAATCATCGAATGACTGCTCCCGCCTGGGTGAGGCGGGAGGGAGTGTCAGACTCTTACTGACTAAAAACCACCCTGTTCCTTCTCCTGCACGTCGAGTTGGAGCCCCGGTTATCCGTTAGGTTCTCCGCGACAACCTATATGGATGTTTGCGCGCGAATATCTCGCGATTGGCTGAATCGATTTTGATACAGGTTTTCACAACAGTGTTCGTTACACTATGAAGAAGGCTTAGTGTATTAATTTTACCGACTTCAAAAACAGAAAGGAGGTTGTAGTCGATTTTATAAACGTAGTTTTTAAAAAAAAAAATTATATATTAGATGTTCATGAAATGGAAATTATACAACACTATTATTTTTATTTATTTTTCGTAAGTATATATAGTATAGTGAAGTGTTACTAATATAGACTTAAGTTTAATTACTAACATCAATTGTATATTAAAATATGTATGTTAGTCTGTAAGGTATTGTTAGGTAGGTAATGTATCTATGGGTCATAGTTGCCTCAAAATAAAGTTTGGCAAAAATACTATCAATATTTTACGTTCGTTTTAACACAACACATTCTTTGTGATCTGTTGGCGAGATTAAAATAATAATCTAATATTATTTTGGTAGCCAAAGAACAAAACTACAATAATTATTTAAAAGTATAAAAAAATTAAAATAAAAAATATGTGACACCTTACAACCTTTGAATGGCGCCAGGAACCAGGAGTTGGAAAAAGGGGGTCGTCTATTGTACAATAATAATCACACAGAACCCTTACGAATAAATATTAACAATAGTTCATACAAAACGACAAATAAATGAAAATATATCGTTAAAACATTTTCTACATCCATGACTGAACGAACAGAATGCAACAAATCGAATAAATTGAATATTTATCGTGCTCATTATTATAAGGGCAATGCATTTAGAAAAACACACTTCGAAAGATATACTCTACAAATTCAAACTGTTAGAATCAGAATAATTCCAACTAATATATTAAATAAAGTAAAAATCTAATATATCAAATAGTGAAACAGGTTTGTTTTATCTTTACTCTTTATCTATTGAAACAATCTTCTTGAAATTTTGCCCACAAATATAGGATATACTACAAAGAAAAACACAGGCATAAATTGGAGTGGACAAAAATAGTCTATCTTTATATATTATATAAAAATTAATACCTTTTTCTCTTCGTAACGGCATCACGCGCAAATGGCGGGACCGATTTCAATAATTATTTTTTGTTGTATTTGTTATTATTAGGAGACGGTTCTTAAGACAAGAAAAATCCTTAAAATCTTACGGGAATGGGCAAAAGTTGAGGGCAGAAGCCAGTATTATAAAACACAAAACTTACCCCAAACGGATTATCCAGGTCAACCTTAGCATAGGGCACACCAAGGAAAGTGCTGTACCCTTTATGTCTATCACCTATTATTAACCCTCTACTCGTCACAACTTGGTCTTTATCTCCATAGCTCTGAGATATAATAATGCACAATAAAAAAACTAAACACTGGACCATTTTACTACAACAACCGATGTGTACTAGTCTGTGTACGACAGCTGGTTATATAAATACATTTGTGGTTTCACGGTGAGTAGGGATCCTTAGACGTAATCAAAGATCGGAGTTTCCAACTAGTAGTGATGACTAAGACACGCTCTTTATAATAGGTAGAAGAATATTGTGTTTTATTTTTACCTTTGTACTTAACTAGCGACCCGCACCGGCTTCGCACGGGTGCAATTAGAAATTTCTAAATTTATTAGTTTTTCTCTACTATATTATGCATGTATTATACATATAAGCATAAATAGTGAAAAGTGGTTGTACAGTGGCATTTAGTGCCGTAATGTGCACCTCTGCCTACCCGTTCGGGGATAAAAAGGTGTGATGTTATGTTTGTTATGTTATGTTATACATATAAATCTTCCTGAATAATCACTCTATCTATTAAAAAAAACGGCATCAAAATCCGTTGCGTAGTTTTAAAGATCTAAGCACACATAGGGACAGACAGCGGATAGCGACTTTGTTTTATACTATGTAGTGATTTGTATGACACTGGCTCCTGTTAGTGACTTCGCCCGCGTTTCTGTTTGATTAGCAGTAGCCCTTGTGTTTTCCCAGATCATAATCTAGTCCGTGTTCCAAATTTCGTCTCGGTCCCTTCAGGCGTTTTGATGTGAATAATTAATAAATAAGCATACAAACTATTCATATTTATAATATTAGTAGGTTGGTCAGTTTGTGCTACATATTAGATAGATAGACTATATATAATATGACATGGCCGGCAACGCATCTGTGACTCCGCTGGTGTTGCGAGTATCCACGGGCGGTGCTGATCGCTTACCATCAGGTGATCCGTCAGCTCGTTTGCCTTCTACTCCATAAAAAAACTTAATAATCCGAAGAGGCAGGTAGAGCCGGGCTGCGGACGATCTTGCGGGTTGTCGGGAGCCCGGCTCGAAGCTGGAATAAGAACGGGGTGGTTTTTAGTCAGTAACAGTCTGACATTTCCTCTCACCCAAGGCGGGACCAATAATTTGGGGGGTGCATATGCATAATGCATATACGGACATAAAAGTCCAATGTAATAAGAAGAAAATCTAATAATTAATTCTCAAAAATGAAAAAAAAAATCAAAGGGTAGTTTATGTGACACCTCTTGTTCAGTAATCACAGAAAATAAAGAGGCAAACTAATAGTTTAAATAAACTGTTTTTCAGAGAACCAAAAAAATATATATAAAAAAAAAATCCATTTATACAATTGCTATGCATCAATCATAGTTTTATCATCATCAAGCATAATGCTTAGATTCCAAAAAAAAACCCATAATTTTCTATATTAGCAATGACAAATAAATCTAAGTAAATAACATAACATCACGCCTTTTATCGCCGAAGGGGTAGACAGAGGTGCACATTATGCCATTGTATAATGTAACACCCACTTTTCACTATTTATGTTATGAGTCCCATGTAATAGGGGGTGAACCTATTGCCATATACCGGGCACACTTCCAGACTCCGTGCTACTACTGAGGTTTTTTTAAAAACAGATTAATACCTTGCCCGACCCTGGAATCGAACCCTGTCCTGTCCGGCAGTCGCACTTACTACCACTCGGCCAATGAGGCAGTAAATAGGCAATAAATGAGAAAATAGGGTAATATAATATGATTTTACCTATCATGTATATACAGGTCATCATTACAATAACTGTAGAACAGAACATTGTATGTACATACGTACCAAGTTTAAAATGACTAATGAGTACCTACGTTATACCTAAACAATGTCGGTTTTCCGTCGACATCCATTTTCGTAGAAATCTTCCGGTTTTACGAGTTGTAAAGGGGTTTTCCATTGTCATAGTTCATACCTACCATAATTGATAATGTACAATAATATAAAATAGCTGTAGGTACTATAGAGGTAATGTTATTTGACTTATTATCTTACTAGCTGAGCCCGCGACTTCGTCCGCGTGCAATAGTGATTCACAGCTCCTCCCCCGTAGTTTACACCGATTGGGTTAAAATTAGATCGGCAGTCAGGTAGATGTTGTAACGTAGGCGTCTGCTAAGAAAGGATTTTGATCATTTCCACCCCCAATGGGGTACAATAGGGGATGAAAATTTGTATGAAATTTTGCTAGTTTTACACCTATCGGGTTGAAATTCGGCATGCAGGTAGATATTATGACTTAGGCATTCATTAAGAAAGGATTTTGGTCATTTCCACCCCAAGGGGGTACAATAGGGGATGAAAATTTGTATCAATTTTTGCTAGTTTTACACCTATCGGGTTGAAATTCGGCATGCAGGTAGATGTTATACCAAGGCAACACTGGAAAACATTTTGATCAATTCCATCCCCGAAGGGATAAAATAGGGAATGGAAGTTTATGTGAAACTCCGTCAATTTTAAACTGATCGGGCTGTAACTGCATAAAACTACTATGACGTAGGCATACCCTAAGAAAGGATTTTGATAAATTCTAGAGGTAGACTCCTAAGGGAATAAAATACCCTATTTTGAGATTATTTATGAGAGTTTATAAAAAACTTCTTAGCTATTGAATATAATAAATCGGTAAAACGTAAATTTGAGAAACGATATATGATAGTTTTTATCACAGAAGTCCCACGGGAACGGGAACTACATGTTAATGCTACAAATATTCTAAAATAAAAGTCTGTCTCTCGTTCAATATATTCATTACTAGCTTTTACCCGCGGCTCCGCTCGCATCACAAAAGGATAAAAAGTAGCTTATATGACATATACCAATACACACAGCGCCATCTATACCAATAATTTCGTTTTCCCTCGAGAATATCAAATTTTTCCGGGATAAAAAGTACCTATTATTTAATCCCGACTTCTAACTGTACCTACATTTGCAAAAATTCAAAGCAATCGGTTTAGTAGTTACGGCGTGAAAGCGGAACAAACAAACTCACTTTCCGATTTATATATATATAGTAAGGATACACAGCTACATTAACATGAGCCTTACATTAACAATATTGGTATTTTTATATTTATAAATTTCTTTTTTTATAATAACATGCTACGGAACCACTAAGTATTAAAGATTACAGTTCCTCAAACAAAGTTTATGTGAGTCGTGAGTCATTGCTTGAGTTCGAGACGAAGGTCGTAAACGGTGTTTGGGAGCATCTATTTCATTTATTCGCAGATACGTACATACTTAACTTCAACATCAAGTGAATTGTGAGTTTGCATCCAAAGTGTTTTTATAGCACCGCATAGAGCGGCTAATGAACAGACTAATTACCTAATGATTCCCGCAACAACAGGAGCGTTAGAAGTGCTTTGTCGATCTTTCAGGGATAAGGGGTTTTGTGGTGGGAATTCCAATAGCATTCCACTTCATCATCATCAACAGCCCGTTGTCGTCACAAATGAAATAGACCATAAGTCTCATAAGAGGCCTGGAGCTGTAGACAACATTGCAGGTTATTAGGACTCCAGCTCGAACAGAGTAGGAACGAAGTGGTTTTTAATCAGAGTCTGACACTCGCTCTTGCCTCACCCAAGTCAGGAGAAGTCACTGGACAACTGTTCTCTATTAAAAAAGAGGTTGAAGACATACACACAGGCCTCTTTTATCTATCTCTACAATTACTCTCTGTACAGAGTAACAGACTATAAAGTCTATCTCTGTACCAAATTTCATTCAAATCTGTTCAGTACTTCTTGTTTAAAATAGTAGCAAACACTCATAGTACCTACATCGTCACTAATTTTTTCATTGACCTATAATTTCAGTAGAAACTAGGTAAGATCACAGTACATATCGACTTCTACCTGTTTCCAATATTTATAAGAGTTACAATGATAAGGAATAAGTACTTTGACACACTTAGGTACCACTTATCATTGTTTACCACTTTAAATAATGACTATTTGTTTTCCCGTGGCGTTGTCCGAATTTACAGTCCATAAAATGCACCATAGATGTCCAAAATATTGAAGTATATCCAGCCAAAGATCTGCGCACCAGACCACTACAGAAGGGGCCCAGTAGGGCTGATGCCCGATACAGAACCGCGGAAGACTTAACGCCTGCGTTTAGTTAGTAAGAGTCTGACAGCCTCGCCTTACCCAAGGCGAGAGAAGTCATTGGATGATTTTCTCACACTCTCAAAGGCAAAGATCTGCGTCTGTTTGTTCCTCCAAATCCATTTAGTACCTAATTTTTATTTATAACATAGAGGGTTAAATTGAGAACCTCCTTCTTTATTTGAAGAGAAACGTAATGTTTGGTATGTAAATACAGTAAAATTCAATAATAATGTTCTTCACAGGGTCGCGTGGTAAAGACTCCATATCCGACTTGGGTCCTTGTGATCGCAGTGATGATGATACTGGCAGGAGTTCTGCCAATACCCGTGGTCCTTCTGCTTCGTCGCTTCCAATGCCTGCAGTTCGACGTGGACATCCACCAGGGATCCATCAGGAGGATCGAAACCACCGTCTCCACGAAGGAGATGATGAGTGACCAGGATGTAAGTATTTAGATGTAAGGACCATTTTTGGTCCTTTGATCCGCTGATAGAGTTTCGTTTCAATGCTTTTGGTTTTAAGGTTTGAAATTGTTATGGCAAGAATTTGGGGTTGTCGAAGGTGTTGGATTGGGTGGTTTAAAAATATTAACCGATTTTGAAAAATATTCAATCACTTGTTATAGGAGTAATGTCATTGGAGAATCAGTGTTTTTACACTTTACTGAGAATTTTGGAAATTGAAAATAATACGATTCTGTAATCTGGCCAATTGGCCATACCCAGAACTTACAACACTGTTTTTACAATACTAATTTTGATGGATTCAAAAAGATGGATTCATTAAGATAATTTCGTCTATTATCTAACCCTTTGTTTGATGCTAAGCTAAAGAATAATATTACTTCAAATGTTTAAGCTAGAATCATATATTTCATAACATCTGTGTTTAAAGCTAACAATATCATATGAATTAATGTTAAATGGTTACATAGACATTTCATTACAGCTAGTTACATGTTGTAAATAACTTTATACACAGGAAAAATGTATTTAATTTGATCATCGACGTATTAGGGAAAAATGCCTTTGTAATGATTTTGGTGTTGTAGGTAAAGTCTTCAGTAAATCAACTAGATCATTGGATTTTTGGTTTTATGTCAGTACTATAAAGTTGAAGATGTAATGACAGAAAAGGATAGGTTGACCTGGCCACTGTTCTTAAGGTACGGCTACCTCTTTCCAGAAGGGCCTAAGCTTCTTTTTTATACTTGATAGGTTTACGTTTAGCCACCATCTTGCCTGGTGATAAGCGATGATGTGGACGACGATGGAGCACGCCTTTCTTGCTATCTACACCGTGAAATTTATTTCGTTTTCGTCCCGAAGTAAAATGGTTCTGTCTCGGTAATACAATAGTTTTACAAAGAAATAAAATGTTCAATACAAAAATAAGTGGTGAACCTTTGCAAAGGGGGTGGCACGAGTGATACGAATAGTGCCTACAAATTTACAACTAACTAGTGTCTGATATGCGAAAGTAAATGATCTTTTTTTAAACAAAAAGATACGTCTTTTTTTGTTTTGGTTTTACCTATACACGAAATAGATCTCACGGTGAATAGTACCGTGAAAACAGGGTGAATAGAATTCTAGAGGTAGAATTGAATAAATATTAGAAGAATATCCCAATACCTGTTCACTTCTCTTCTCTATTCATTCTCCTCTCGAATTCTGTTCACCTCGTTCTACCAGAATAGATGGTTCATTTTTGTCTTTCATTCGGCGTCTTTCACCCAAAACGATACGTCTCAACATGAGAATGAAACAAGAAAGAGTGCAGAATGAATTTTGGCATTCCGCATCATTCACTCCCAATCCGAACGAACAAAAAGTAAACTGTCTACACACAGAGTGAATGTTCACTAGGATTTCATTAAATTATCACATGCACGACATCACTCGATGACATATTTTAAAAACAAAGAATGTATGTTCATTTCTTTGTCATTCTTCTAAAGTCGTCTGTGCATGGAATGATAGATAAATAAAAAATTCGGGGCTCGTACACAAAACGATGTTACGAACGAATTTGCAACACAGAAAATTACGCTGCGATACGATTTCGTGCGACAAGGCGTCTCCCAGGGTGATTCCTTCGACGACCGATAACCGTACTCAACGTATTTTAAATTGAAAACTAGGTCGTGACATGGATCGTAAAATGAAGTGTGCACTTCTGTTATTACTTAGGAGATACAGGAAAAAGAAACAAACAAGATTTTGGGAAGATATGATTTTGATGCGCGATGCGAATCAATTCGCACGTTCTTGCAATGCGTAGAGGGAGCTCGCACATTTTTTTATACGAGCCCACACTGGGGTTTAGATTCATTCGAGGGAACCGTCTACTGTCACTTTTGTTAAAGTATTTGACGGACAAGCAACCTCCTTTAATTTTCCGTTGACCGAACTATGATCTCCACGTCGTCTACCAGGCATGGGGAATATGGTAAAATCATAAGGGGCCCATTAACTCGTTAACCGCCGCGTAGGTCACCGGTGACCTACGTTAGCGGAGGATTTGCCTTCAGCTGTTTTCTGTCGACAGTCAAAGGCGTTGTTCAATAGTGCACGTCTTCTAGTTTATGATGGTATACAAATGTCTGTATTACATTTCTCTGGAATTAAATGCTTTACTAACAGATGATCAAACTTGATACATTTTCCTTTCATAATAATACGGATGCAGTCAGAAAAATTGATGATTCCTTTCCTATTTCGTTCTGTTTCCATCAGTCGTGTTTTTTTTCTATTTATATTTATGTTTCGTCTACTTTTGCTTTATCCTATTCTTGATATATTTAATTCTGTTTCATCCCACTCTCGTTTCAATTAATATTGTCCTTTCCATCTTTTTTTATCATGTCTCCCAATTTTGTTTCCTTTAGTCCTATTACTTTTAATTCGATTTAATTATGTTCTATCGTTTTTTCTAGTTTTCCAATCTTTATTCCTATTTCAACCTATTCTGTTTCTTTTAGTCATATTATTTCTACTTTTATTTCATCCTGTCCGGGGTATTTACTCTTGAAACCCATCTCAATATCAATGCAATTTCAATGCAATAAAATTTCAATAATTATTATTCAATATAATAACTATACAACCGTGATACAACCCCTATCGTAGCTGTTAAAATAGCATTCAGAGTACGGAATATAAAGTCAAACTCAATACCATTTAGTTCATTAAATATCAACGCAATACGGTTGCAAACTTGCAATGGTTACTAGTGGTGCAACTCAAGAGTACAAAATTTAATAATACCAATGTCGATCGACCAGAATTGGATTCAAGAGTAAGCCCAGGGGGCGTATTGCGTGGATATTGAATGAACTAAATGGTATTGAGTTTGGATTTATATTCCGTACTCTGAATGCTATCTTAACAGCTTTGATAGGAGTTGTATAGTTTTGACATTGTATAATTATTGAGATTGTATTGGATTGAAATTGCATCGACATTGAGATTGGTTTCAAGAGTAAGCACCCTGTTCTTTCTGGTGTTATCCTGTTTCACGTTCTCCTTGACTGCGTCCCAATTAATGTGGCATCACATCACACCATGCTAACTGTACATGCGTTAATGTGGCGATAAGGTGCTGTCGCCTGAGAACGCGCCCCCTGCGCCTGCACAGCTCGTGGCTGAGGCAGCCGGCACCAGGTTCACTATCGGCGACTTTGATGTAAGATCCATGTTGCTTGGGTTTGGAGACTGATGTATATTATGTTTTATTTAAGTAAATTATGACATTTTACTTTTATTTTGGAAAGTTTCGAAAGGTTTGAGTATCTACATGAGTTTATTTTACATGTGAATGTGAGTTAAGGTAAATTATCTAAGTTTGTTTTTATTTATGAAATAAGTTTGAAACAACTATTTATTAGAATCAGAATCGAAAAGTCTTAAAAAGTTCATTCTCAAGTAAAAATTATTTTTTTTGTCCATAATATCGTTTTAAAAATTCAGTCTTGGAACTTCCACATCTCGTTTCATTTTAGATTGGGATTTTGAAAATTAAGTTCTTTAAAGGATTTCGATTAAGTAAAATGTTCAAAAATAGAGAATTGGACTTGAAACTTCAGTTTAGAGAGTAACAAAAGAAATAGTCTGATCTCAATTTTAATTTACGTTTTTGTACAGTTTTAATTGATGAAATAATATAATTTGTACTCCTTGATATTACCTACATGTAAATATCTTCAATCCGCCTCCAGAGCGTGGACAGCAGTGACGAGCGACCCAACAAACGGTTGCCAGAAGTGATTGCACGTGGCCGCCCCAAGAAATAAAAGTTCGTGTTTGTTAAAAACTCGCTTAAAAAAAAAACAAAAAAGAAATACAATTCCTTTTTGACAATTCAAAATCTTCAATCGTGTCATAATGATCTAAGAGCAGTATCTTGATAGCATCGGACCTACTTAACTGTTTTTTCATAATAAGGACTACTCTGCCAGTGAATTTACCGCCAGGATCATTAGTATCGGGAGAGGTAATTTGTCCAATAAACCACAATTTGATAATGTAATGTTCAGTCATTGGACATTCAATTATGGGCATACGTGACTTCACGCCATATTGGCGCCATCTGGTGAATAGAAAAGCATTTATTTAACATCTTTGTTTTAACACCTTTGTTTATCTTTGTATAAATCTAATAGTAGATGCCTAATTTTTATTGTAATGTCCGTCTGGTAAATTATTTTAAAACATTACACACGTGTTTTTTATTTTCTTACAGAAACGAATATTTTGGACGATATATTGATTTGAAATGTCGCGTGACGTCTATGTATATTTTATATATAAAAATGACGTTTTAGCCCCCACTCATAAACTTTGATTCGTTTTATCTAAGTATTGTTTTATTATACGACAAAATAAGAAAATACGTGTCTAATGTTTTTCATTACCTAACTTACGGACTAATTAGATTTTTAATTTTCATACCCTGTCATCATCCCAATTGATGGATAATTCCGCATATAAGCTAATATGCTGTAACTTTATCAGACATTGCGTAAAAATTAAAATGGATTTTTTTCTTAAACATGAAAAAAAATATATATTTAACTCGACTAGTTTCAAGCCATGCTAGGGGCTCATATTCATGAGCAGCGACTGTCGCGCTGCTATTGAGTGTACTGCTACCGTCGCCACGAAAGTTTTAACATAAACATGAAAAAAATTGTCAAAATGGGATTGAAATTAATAATCTGCTTTACAACAACGACAATAATATCGTCAAATATAACTAGAAGAGGATATTTTGAGCTTTTATACATTTAAAGAATATTTAATTCAAAACTTAGGTACCAATAGGCTTTGCAAAGGCAACCGTAATTAGCATTTACATATTAGGTTTAATACCAGACCCAGCAGAAGGCACCCTTAACGAGCATAACGTATGTGTCAGCAATTGGTCCGGTCAACCTTTTTATTGGGAACGGAACAACCCAACACACAGCGCCACCGACTGTAGGACATTTATGTGTGCATGACGCCTCAACCCTTGCCACGTTAGCCGATTCCAATAAAGCTTACAATAGTCCAAAAATCAATAGGTTATTTTCTATATGACTGCCTCGTTAGCCGAGTGGTTGCAAGGGCAAGGGGTCTCGGGTTCGATTCCCGGGTCGGGCAAAATAATACTGGGTTTTTAAAAACATATCTCAGTAGTAGCACGGAGTCTGGAATTGTGCCCAGTATATGGCAATAGGCTCACCCCCTATTACAGGGGACTCATAACATAAATAGTGAAAAGTGGGTGTTACATTGTGCAATGGCATAATGTGCACCTCTGCCTACCCCTTCGGGGATAAAAGGTGTGATGTTGTGTTATGTATTTTCTATATATACATACTTATATTAGGTTTAATAAAAAATAATGTTCAAATCGTAGTTATATTTGACGATGTTTTCCGGTGGAACGGTCCTAAGCTTCGCATGATTTTTTGTAACTTATTCACGGGACTTGGTTTATCAAATTATTTATTTGTAAATCATATAAATATGGAATATCCTTGTTTGCACTTGCACGCTGAAATAAGTAATACCGATTATTTTTAAGTTATGCATGTTTTTACAGAAATAAATATATTTTGCTGTTGTTTTATTTTGTATCTAGTACCTACCTATCGATGTGAGTATTTCTTAAATTTTTTGTAACATTGTAGGTAAATATCAAATTAATTTTATCACACTTACACTGCTTATCATAATTATGTTTCACCTTCTCATATTTTTCATTAGTTAACAATTCATAAATAATTGAACATTTAGAATATATTAGATATTTTTTTATTGATGCACTATTTAGCAATCAAAACTTTTTAGACTAAAAACCAAAGAAACTATTTTAAAACTTATTAATTAATATATTTCAATTTTCACAGTCTTCAGATTCAGAGGACAACATACGCACGACCGGCCGCTTCGAAGACTCAAGCAGTAGTGACGAGGAAATTCTAAATACAAATAGCACAAAAGGAAACGTTCGTAGACTAGCGATGAAGCCCATTGGTCGAAAGCCGACCACATTCAAAATGGACGTCGTCGACGAATGACCGTTACTTTTGAAATTCACATTTGTGTTTTATAATAGATTATTCGAAGCAGCCAAAACGATTGTATTGTGTAGGATTAATATATTTAAGTCTTGGGCGGTTTATTTATAAAATATTGAATAATTTTGAAGATAATCCATTTTCCAGACAATATTTAAATTAAAGGTCTCATTTTTATCGTATGTATTATAATCAGTATAATAGATATCAAATCATTTAGGTGTAAGCAGTGACGTATGGAAAGACTTAAGGAGATTGAAGCAAAGGAAAGATTTCTATTCAAGAATGGTTAACTTTAGAAAGTTAGTTGATAAATCACTTTTGTCAAATTGTAATATTGTAATTTTAAGATTGACCCCTCCATACTTTTAAGAATACTGATCGACTAGTATTTTTAGGGAAAACATCAAAAAGGGGGGGACGTCAGGTGTTGTTGTTACCCTTGGGAGTCGAACTTACCCTTAAAATTATTGTGTTTCGGCTTACTCGCCTAACTGTCTGACGAGGAACTCGACTAGTTTCAAGCCATACTAGAGGCTCATATTCATGAACAGTATTCTGCGACACACGACGCGGTAACTGTCGCGCTGCTACTGACAGCGAGTAAACCGTAATAATAATAATAATGCATTTAGTATCTCTTATGAAAGTTATGATATGAATTTACCCTTTATAAATCTGAGTCAGTGTAATTGCAAAATCTTTTATAGAAATCTGTTTTACACGCGGGCTAAATAAAAGTTATTTTTCGCCTAAGGGTAAAACCAGCTCCTTATCGTGATTGCTATACATTATTAATTGTAAAATTGTTGACGATATTTATCAAAATTGTTGAATTTTCATGCACACAGACTTTAAATAGTGTAACATCATAGCAGTCTTAGCTGTAGCTCTTATTTCAGTAAGAATAAGGATCAAAATCTCGTGTCTGAAATATCACTTGAAAATCATGTTTAAGATTAACAAGATCGAGATTATGGGTTCCATTATTTTAACAGAAAATGAAGGAAAATATAAAATGTCATTAAATACTACTAAAATAATAACAGATTTGTTATAATCTGGCGAAATCTATCCTTTTTACAGCAGTTTTAAAGCCGTGGGTAAGTTGGAACAGTGTAAGAGCTTCGAATTAGACCAGTAAAATAAGTGTTTACGAAAATATTTTTGGTAAAAGTAAAAATAAAATTAGAAGAATCGATGTTGAATGTGTTCGTATAGAGGAATGGCTTTAACTAATTGGCAAATATGTATGGAATTAAAAAAATATTAGACTATGTAGTGTACCTACTAAATATAAACAAATATTGTGGAAGTGAGACTTTATAGTGATGGTTGGGTATTTAGGAGGAAGAAAAGCAGTATTTTTGCTTACAACTACAAATTTTAATAATTTTTGCAACGCACCTGTGACTCTTCTGGTGTTGCGGGTGTCCATGGGCGGCGCTGATTGCTTACCATCAGGTGATCCGTCTGCTCGTTTGCCTCCTATTCCATAAAAAAAAAAAAAAAAAAAAAAACCTAAAATTGTGTTTTTGTATAAGTTTCCTATGAGAAATTTACTATTAAAATGATATTTTTTCTGTAATAATAACTATTAACGGTCAATTCGAAATAACGATTCACAGTTTATAAAAAAAGATTAAGTCGTTACCGTTATAAAATCAGCGTTTACTTCTCCTCCTGACTCTGCCCGGGGTACGTAAAAATAAATGAACCAATATTAATCTCGATCTAGTGGCCATAGCACTATAAAAACGTTAAAAAAAAATACGTTTAAAACGAAAAATATCTAAATTCGTGATTATTTATTTATTAAACAATTTCATGAAGTTTAATAGACTGTTGGGTTGACTGGATGGTTGATGACATTTTTAAGTCTAGATTTCTTAGGCAATTCCTTTTAACGCCATTGAAATTGAGGTGCAAACCAGCTTACATTCCGTCTGATAGAAATCAGTTACCAGGTAGAATATAATAAGAAACTCCAACGTGATTTAATCGGATCCGAAGCAAGTTCTATGTTCACTATATTGGGGACTCCGATGCCAATAGGTAAGAAGAAAAAAAATAATATTCTATGTCTACAAACATTCAGTCATTCTCAAATAGCCTTTTTAGACATTCCGGCTGCTAGTCAACTGATGTCAGATACCCAGCAATAAATATACAGATGTCAGCAAGTTAACCTACCTTTTTTATTGAATTTTTAACTTTATATCAACAGATTATGGTTGAAAATGTAATAAAGTGAGAAAGGAGTAGGCTAGCCTGTTCATTAGATGCATCTGTTACGTGCAACAGCTAGTACGCACATACCTACACTTTGCAGCTGGGTACCAGACACCGGAGCGTTTGAAAAGGGCCTTTCAGTCGTCTAAATAAGGATTAAAATTTAATTATTTATAAGTTAAAACTAAAAGTACTAGAATGGCGATGCTAGTCACTGATATTAGTCGTAGTATTTATTAACACGCGTACGACGCACAGCTGTTAGCCTGTGTTATTGGGTCAGATTGGATTTTGACGCGGTTTTAGTAAAATTAGGCATTACTGATTGGTCGGATGACTATTGATAAATATAAGTATACGCTATTAATACTTTTTTGAGGGGGCAAAAGCATCCAGTGGCTTCTCCCGCCTTGGGTTAAGCGAGAGGGGGTGTTAGACTCTTAATGACTAAAAACACCCCGTTCCTATATACTCCTGCACTTCCAGCCGGAACCCCGACAACCCTAGGCTTAATACTTTGACTTAGTTCTTTGACTCCAATAGAAAATTGATAAAGGTAAATCATATGCTAACGTCGGGTACCGGTGATGCCCATGGCGTTTTAAGAAACGTACGAGGTAATATGAGATTTTTATTCTTTATACGCGTACACACATCCTAATACTAGAATAACATCGTTTGATAAATAATTAAAATCTTTGTCTTTACTTATTTCAAAAGAAAACGGTATATCGGTTGGTTTTTAAGATTTCATTATGACTTCTCCCGATCAACCAACGATAGCAATTGTTCGTTAGTTGTATAGAATTCCGAGAACACTTCAAGCTAGAATGTCAACTTTAAAATTTTGTAATAAAGTCGAGAATCTATTGATGTTGTTCGGGGTAACGTCCAATCTGACCCTTAGGTTGAATGTAGGGTAAGATACGCTGTAATTATTGCAAAATTTATTATTAAATGAAAATATTTAGAAACGAAAAATTATCTTTCTAAAAGAAAGCGAAAGAAACAGGTTTCAAATTTAAAAAGATGCTTTTTAAAAATTTTTAAAAATACGTTTTAAATTTTGAAGTTTCGAATGTTTATGAGCATTAATTGCCTATGTTTAGTGAGGTAACGAGAAAATATTGACATTTATAATGACTGGAAGTCAACAAATACACAATTTCAACACAAAAACGACTTTATTTCGTACAGTTTAAGGTTGAATTTTGTTACACACTACAGTGACATAGTTGAAATTTGTACTAAACAAACTGTTTCATATATTTTTGAAGGAAAAAAATATTGATTATTACCAAATATTGCATTAAATTGTGGTATTGACGTCATTTATGGCTCCAAACTGATAGGACATACTTTCATGACCTTTTATTTATTCTATTTTGCTTATCGATTACGGATAACTGTAAAATATTAAAGAAAAATGACATTTGCCTATACTTACATTTTATCTATGGTCAGATAACCTTGACAATTTATTGTTTTTTTTTTAAATATGTTGCCAAAGGATAAGTATTACAGTTTCTGGAAAAATGCATAAAACTTTATTATCATTATTAATTCCAAATACAAACATAATTTTTTTCAATCGAATACATTATGAAAATGTAAAATATAAGTTTAAAAAAAATAAATAGACATCACTTTTCGAATTTTAAACGGTTGGCGCGTTGTTGCTGTCGAAGCAAAATGGTAGTTTAACTACTTATTTAATCACAATTTATTTTTAACACAACAGAATAAAAACTGCGATTTAAAATAATATATTCACACTGTTCATATTTATCGTAATTTTCTGACAAAATAGAAAAAAAACTGCAGAGTTAAGTTAGCTTTACGTCAAAAATTATGTTTTGTATTTCTTCGAATGTTTGGCGGCAACAGCGCATTCAACTGCTGTAGTAATTAATTATAGAATAAGCTATTGTTGCTCGCGCGAGCTAACTGTTCTGTAGATATCCAAAGAATAATTCTCTAGCTGTAGGAAAACATGATATTAGCGTAAGATGATTGTAAGAACATTTTCAAATGCAAGAATAAATAAAGAATTCGCCATCTTTTTGTGTTTTTATTTGATCTTTTGAACAGTTTCACCCTAAACCACCCTATACACACTATAGATGCATTAAACTGTCAAACACCAAGCGGTCACCGGTGACCGCAGCCTATTGTTCTATAATTGTGTCTACAAAACCGGTACTCGACGAGTTAAAGTGATTTGAATTTGAAAAAAACATTTGAATACCTACATATATGATTTATTGAGCAAGAGCCAAAACAGCAACAGCTCACATCACCTGGTGGTAAGCAATCACCGTCGTCCATAGATACTAGCAACACTACAGAAATTACAACGGCTATGTTGTTAGCTTGTTGGAGGAGAGGAGTAAGGAGGAAGCCTCTGAGCAATATTGAGATGTGAATGATACTCAGGTAAAATGTGTGATACCGACTCTTTCAACCACACAACACAATGTAACACCCACTTTTCACTGTTTATGTTATGAGTCCCATGTAATAGTGGGTGAGCCTATTGCCATATACCGGGCACATTTCCAGACTCCGTACTACTACTGATAATTTATAAAAACCCACTACGTACTACACTACTACACACGTACTAAACATATCAAACCCGAGACTCCTTGCCCGGCAGTCGCACTTGCGACCACTCGGTCAACGTAGCAGTCGGTAGTTAAATCCAATAGTCTTAAAAAGTACGAGCGCGGAACGCGACGCGCCGTGCACTCGGGTCTGGTTCAAAGTTTGTTTTATGTTAAAAGTAATCGAAACAAGACCGTATTCGGCGCTCTGATTGGTTGCTTCTTTGGAATCAGAGAACTCGTACTAAGCCCTCTGAGACCTTAGTACGAGTTTGATTTACGTTTAAAGTAATCGAAACGAGTACGCGTTCGGCACTCTGATTGGCTGGCGCTAATGAACCAACCAATCACAGCGCTAAACGCGTACTCGTTACAATTACTTTAAGCGTAAAACAAACTCGTACTAAGGCCTCTGGTCGGGCGGTAAGCGACCCATGCTCGATGCCCGGAGTGTCCTTCGCGACGGCTGGGTTGTGACGCGCCCCGCCCCCTGAGCTAGCATGCCTACTTCATAAAAGGAAAAGACGGCATCTCAGTCCTCCTCGCTCCGCATTATGACCCGGAATAGGGCCGGGCGCGAGAGGTCGTCGTCGCCGATCACATCCCTAAAGGCGCGGTGCTCTGCCCACGCAGGGCATGCCCCCAGGCTGTCCTCAGGGCGTTCCTCGCAGTAACAGAAAGTAATGCGACTT